AGGACGATCTAACTGCTCAGGACACGACTTTGTTCTCACCGGCTGGGTCTTGGTAAGATCTTGTGGAATTATATAGTGATGAGCAGACGCAACTTTATACCTCTGCCCCGAACGGGTACTACTTCCGCCGGAGGGTCTGCGAAGACACTGGCAAAACTCTGACTGTTCTCGAACATTGAGAGGCACAGGAGCGGTTATATGATTATAAGTGTTATTGTTTCCGTCTTGAACACTACTATAAACGTTCCTAAACTTAGAACACAGCTCAGTGAAGGTACCTGAACAGCTGTAACGATTCGCTTTTCCTTTTCTGGTGTTAAACTGGGAATTTGACTCATTTTTGTGTTTTACAGCCATCTCACCGTTCAAGTGTCTGAGATTTTCAGAATATTTGGTTGGTCGATTTAATGGAGGTGATCGAGACGTGTTGGGTGGAAAAGTGTGAGATGCTTGCGGGGTATTATAAGATGATTGCGGAGTAGTGTAAGATGCCTGCGGAGTAGTGTTAAATGATTGCGGAGTAGTGTAAGAAGCCTGCGGAGTAGAATAAGAGACCTGCGGAGGCTGGTGACTATCTTTGTTACCGTGGATCACAACAACAGCCCCATCAGTATGATGGTAAACATTGTAACCTTCATAGACATCAAGATCACATTGTTCGCTACTTTTTGACTTGGGAGTACCTTTCATGAGATGTCTTGTTGGAGAACGGGTACCTTGTCATCCAGCTGGAGATGTTCTGCTTAAATCTGATCAGTGCGAATTTGTAGTAATCCGTCTTTTAAATATTTGCAAATATTAAACGTGGTATAAAACTACATATGACAAAATATTGCTAAAAAACTGCATGAAATTACTAAAAAATACCATGTACAGCCCCCGAATGTGTCAGACAAGCGCACAAGTTGATCATTCTATTGACAATTGACTTCCTTGTTGGACCTCCGAAAGTCAAAAACATGAACAGTAAATAAAGCCGATATACAGATATAAGATAAAAATAATTCATAGATTGGGAGTTATTATTAGATGATATCTATTAATATTACAAAATACTATAAAGTTTGCTATATATGAACATAAACAGTGAAGTGAGATCACGTGAATTGTGATTTTTTAGTCACTATATGTAAGCTATGTAGTATAGCGTTACTGACCTCACTTCATGCGGGAATCGTCAAGAATTCATTGGACGTCACATTGTTTGTTCAGATGTCTGCTGCAGAAAACCCCTGTATTAAGCCAGTTTTTAACTAATCGATGATTTTATTGTCTTTAATTGTCTTATATGAATTTAATCCCGCCAAAAGCTGTTCTATTACAAGTACCGTTTATTCGACGGATTAGTTAGTTGAATATATTATATATGTAATGTAACATAATAATGTACGGTTAATTTAATGTCTTGAAACTGAATTCTGAAATATAACCGACTCATATAATATCGACAATAAATTATTAAAATATTGAAATCTGTATTCAGAGGAACTGTCCTAAAAATCTCTCACGTGAGTGCACAAATTTGTAAAACATTTAATCAAAACTCACCAGAAATCAGACTGCAATGCAAACTCCAATCTGACCACATAATCAGACCTGATTTGTCATGACGTCACAATATCAAAACATAGGAAACATCCAAACAGAAAAGTGTGTTATAGTTTTGTTCATATTATAGTGTGTCATGTAGAGTGATACCAAAATTGTAGCCATTTTGCCCATAAAATCTGTACAGGGTTATATGATAAAAGGAATGATTTTCATTTTAAAGTTTTAAGCATGCCTAATCTGAAATCAAACGTCCCTGATAGAAGATCATACGATGTATTTTATTCACAATTATTTAGACTATGTAATGTAAATACGAATTTAGAAGGATTTATTAAAGATGTGAAGTCTCTTAAAATTGAATTATTCAGAAAAATCAGAATTTTAATAATAATGTCTTAAATAAATATGTTTAAAAGTTTATAGAGGCTAAACATCCGTCTGACAAAATAAGGTTTGATGTCAATCGCCTTAATGATCCTGATATTAAGTCTAAATTTTTTGATTCTTTTAAAAGTAGTATTGATTGTAGCGTTTTAACTAATAATGCTATTTCTGAAAATTCTGATATATTTGGTATATTGAGTAAATGTGCCGTTTAGGTGGTTGGTAAAGTGCCCCCGAGGAAGCCTTATCAGTACAGCGACGATCCAACTGTCGTTAAACTTTCAGCAGAGAGAAAGTCCCTCCAGCAAGAATGTAGCCTCACAGAGATAAGTGACAGGAGTGACCTCAGAAAAAGAATCAACCATCTCAAACGTACCATCAAAAAGAGGTTGAAATCTATCAACGAGGCCACAGCTAACGCCCTAGTAGATGTCATCAACAACACCGACAGCTGCAGAAGCATGTTTGAAGCGAATAGAACATTGGCCCAGTGTTGGATGAAGAAAGACGGAGTGACTGTCCACGATGCAGACGGCAACACCTTAGGTTCTGACTCATTAAAAGCAGAAGCTATTAAAGAATACTTTAATAATGAGTTCAATGACAAAGATGAACCCCACCTCCCAGCATTCATAGACCCTCCTGGAAGCCTCCTCTGTCCCATAACACCTGAAGAAGTTGGCCGTGCTGTTATGAAGCTGAAATCCGGTAGAGCGTGTGGCCCTGACGGTATACCTAATGAGCTTATGAAAGCTGCTGGATATCCCCTCCACTGTGAGTTGGCTAGGATCTACAATCTCTCCTTTGAAACCAACACATACATCCCAGCTATTGGAGAAGGTATCCTGACACCCCTTCAGAAGCCAGGAAAACCCCGAGGTCCGGTAAAGTCTATCCGGCCCCTCACATTGCTAAATGGAACTAGAAAAGTCCTATCCCTCGTAGCCTTGAACAGAATCAATTACCACGTTGATATATACACTGGACCTTGGCAGGCGGCATACAAGCAGGGTCGCAGTTGTGCTGACCTGGTTTGGTCTCAGAGAATGTTGACATCAGTGGTTACCAGGGGCGAGTTTGAGTATAGTAAAATCAACATTGACATGACCGCTGCGTTTAATACTATCCGCAGACAGACCATCATCAACCTCCTCATTGATGCAGGATGCTCTAGAGACGACATTCGCCTAGTTCAGTACCTCCTCTCAAATACAAAGCTCTAGGTGACGGTAGACAGAGCTGAGTCTGGTGAATTTGTGATTAATATTGGGGCTTACCAGGGAGACAGTCTGGCAGGGAAAGTGTTTACATTGACCCTTGCCGGTGTCCTGTATTACATCAGAGCCGTGATCAGTGTCACGATTCCTAGACCGAACCCCCCAGTCTCTAATAGAGGCCTCCCGTTAAAGTCCGCCTATGCTGACGATGCTGAGCTTCTTAGTGAAGATGGTCAGAGCCTGGTGAAGATACTAGAGATTGCCAGTGACATACTAAAGGATTGGAGTCTCTTTGTTAACGAATCAAAGACGGTGTTTACAACTTTACAAGAGTGTATTTGGCAGAGACAGATGCTTTAGATGCCCATGGCAATAAAATCAGAGGAGATGAAGAGTGGCGAGAGTCAGTGCTATTAGGATCAAAGCTCTGTTCAGAAAGAGACATTGTCAACAGACGCAACAAAGCCAATGTTGCTTTCTACACCTACAAGAAAGTCTGGTTGAATAATTCTGTTCAGATCAGTGAGAGTAGAAAGCTGAAGCTGTACGAAGCTCTTGTCACTTCAGTGTTGTTGTATAATTGTAGCAGCTGGGCTGCTCCTGAAACCGTAATGGCATCTGTTGACGTTCTTCAAAGGAAGCATCTGAGACAGATATTCAACACCTATTGGCCTACGGTTATCAGTAACGAGAACTTATATAAGAGATGTAATGTCAGACCCCTTACTGAAAGGATCAAGAAAGCAAGATGGAAGATGCTTGGGCACGTTCTCAGAAGCGGTGATGACACTCCCGCTTAATCTTATCTTTCAGATTTGCATGTTTAGGATGTCTTGACTACAAAGGAAGGAGGGGCAGACCTCGTTCAAATTTATTTGATTTATTATTAAAAGACATTATGACAAAGAACATTATTGTGATTGTAAATAAAAGATTTAGTTTAAGTAATTTCAACGATTTAGTGTACAAAGCTCATGATAGACGTTTATGGAGAAGCTATGGGTGAGTCGAGACTACTCGGCCACTCGATTTTACGACTTATTTTCTATTATCTTGTGTTTGCTGTATATAGTTGATTAATAAACATCCGTGTACATATAATATAAGTTTCATGAGGTTTTAACAACTAACATTTTTATTTAATTGCCCTTTTCTGTAACATTTGTTTCTGTAAAATAAAAATTTTTGAAAATTTATTTTGATAAAGGAGCAAATTTGATATTTTACGCTTCTGAGTCATTCTCCAAATATCGTATATTTGGTTGTTATTTTGTTATTGTTAATGTTATTGTTATTGTTTATGTTCATACTTTCATATTTGTTTTGATTTATTATTATATACGTTCTTTTTGTTGTATCTTTGCATTAGTAATATAATTTTGGTGTTCAGTAATGTTTTAAAATGTTTAGTAAATTTTGTTTTCGTAACTATATAATATTTATTCAGAACGTTACAGAAGGAATTGATTTAATGTAGTTGGAGGAGTCCTAACTCTCCTCACGTCCGGAAATGGCGTTTCTCTTGTATCAAACATGAATCACATTCTTGCTTCTCATTTGATCCTGACATATGATTACATTTATTTTTGGCAACTTTCCGATGAGTTGCAATTTCGTCTCTTAAGGGGCTCTGAAAGGAAATACAACTTGATATTGTGAAGACCTATTGGATATTTTAAGGCAGACTAAAGTTTTTTCAAGTATAAGTTTTACAGATTAAATAACTTAAAATCTTGTAAATGTTATTTCTTCATTCGTTGATAGCATTATGCTCGTCTTCAGACTATTGTCTATTAATAATGCACAAATTAGTCACATTTACATAAACTTTAGAACGTCTGTAGGGATATCATGGAAATCAGAGCAGCGATCTTATCTGTAATATGTCACATGATACTATCAGAATCAGCTGATCCGAAAATGAAGACGACAGATCACATTGGATGCTACAAACGTAACAGCACAACGTTTGCATGGTATGATTCAAGCGTCCTGATTAATGTTAACTTTACAACTGATGGGTATCTGGAATGTCAAAACAAAGCAAGAGTGCAAGGTTTGTCAAACATTTACGTGCTTATTTTAATTATATTTATAGAGGGGAGGGGGGGGGGGGCAAAAGTAACGTTACATATGCATAAGTTTGTCTTTATAGCTCAGTAACGGATTGCCCGATTGAGGTAATTTTGTTGGTATGACTTACTATCACCACTCATTCTCGAGGAATATGTTGAGTCCAAGAATATTCATGTTCATTTTTTATTTTAACGCATTTATTAGAAAGTTCCGATGATCGGATCGATACGAACCAAATTTTATAGAATTGTATTTGGCACATCAAATTTCGTTGTAGCTTCTCAGATGATTGAGATACGAAGCATGACGAGTTTATTCATTACGTGTGATCAGATGATCATGATTTGCTTACATGATCACGTGATTAGGTGACTCCGTTATATTGTTATGGCTGCCCAATTGAGGTGTCCATGTCGTGTCGTGTACCCAATCAATTTTGTAAACACTATTTCTCCATGGGACTAATTATAGCAGCTGATTTATAAGTATTAACACCTCTATCAAAAACAATTATTAAGTCCCCCCCCCCCCCCTAGGATCCGACTTTATCGACTTCGGCTTCAATGTCCTAGCAGATTTGTCTCTAAATCTGTCTATCCAGCATGAGCTTGTTTATCTCCTTGCTGTTGTCAAGCCCTGTGTCCCTCCTCAAGATGTCTACATAGGTGAGGTGTGGTTTTGTCCTACGACGACATCCGTGAAGAGGTTCTCATAGAAGAAGCTGATGAGTCAGGAGCTCGTTGTGTCCGGCGAGATGACCAGCTAGCCTCGTTCTCCGTTCAGCTATCTTATCAGTTGATCTAATGAGGTGTCCATACACTTTAGCACTAGTCTGCCGCTCTGACCAGTCTAAGTGCCATTCTCGTATAACATCCATATTATATTTAAATAATGTAATATTATATGTATATAATACGCTTTGCGAGGGTCTGGCTGACAGTCCATGTTTCAGAGCCATATAATAGAAGGACTCGACTGTAGCCAGGAACAGTCGTACCTTGACGCATACCAGACTTCCATATCATCTTCATCTGGTGGCAGGCCGCCCAAGCCTTAGCTGACCCTTAAAAACTCATTTTTGGAACATCTCTGCCTGATTAATGAATTTTAACCTGTTTCAGAACACCATGTAGCTCATTTTGAGTTCGACGAACATCAACAACTATCGATCAGGTGCAAACCTAAAACCAAGATCCACATATATGAAGCTCTGCTCTTCGATCTTACTCCCGAATGCTCTGGTAGGTTAATAAACATATTATTATTATAATTATAAACAGAGTTACAGAACGAATTCCTGTGCGTGATTTTTTCGTGCGTGGTGCTACCGCGGCGAAATTCTTGTTGTTTAATGAGGAGGTTTTCATTATCTTTCTCTAAAAGTAGAATTATACGCTCATTATCGCTCATTCATCTAACGATTCAGGTAAAGTAATTGAAAACGTTACAACGTCAATTTACAACATGTGTTCCGCTGCGGAACAGTGTCAAATATACGACCTTATAGAAGCAGACTACAATGTTGCAGATGGCTGTTATTACGAAAGGCTGAATATTACTTTTGGTTGTATGTACGACAGATTAATCAAGTTAACTAGATTGACCAGAAGTGTTGCTGAACCCCTAGGAATTTTTTTTTGTGTGCTTTGGGGATGGTAATTTCATTTGTTGTTATAACGTTGTTTTGTATCCTGCTTATAAAAATGTGCTCATTGTGCTGTCATGAGGGCAGGGAGGACAGTGAGGACATGACCTACCCAACCGCTGCAACCTACCCAACCGCTGCAACCAGTAGCACCTACCCACCAGCTGCAACCAAGGGTCGACCGCATCCTCGGCCTCGGCCTCATATCGAGGAATATCGATTTCATCGAGGAATATCGATTGCCTCGGCCCCATTACCTGCAACCGTAGGTACCTACTCGTCACCTTTAACCGGAGTTACCTATTCATTACCTGCAACCGGTGGTACCCACTCATCACATGCAACCGGAGGTACCCACTCATCACCTGCAACCGGAGGTACCCACCCATCACCTGCAACCGGAGGAACCCACTCATCACCTGCAACCGGAGGTACCCACTCATCACCTGCAACCGGAGGTACCCACCCATCACCTGCAACCGGAGGTACCCACCCATCACCTGCAACCGGAGGTACCCACTCATCATCTGCAACCGGTGGTACCCACTCATCACATGCAACCGGAGGTACCCACTCATCACCTGCAACCGGAGGTACCCACCCATCACCTGCAACCGGAGGTACCCACCCATCACCTGCAACCGGAGGTACCCACTCATCACCTGCAACCGGTAGCACCTATCCACCTGCCGCAACCGGTGGAATCTACCAACCACACGGAACCATTGGAGCTAGGATATCTACCTTATCTGACCACTCTCCGCCAAGTTACAATGATGTCACTGACCTCCAACAGCTCCCACCGCCAAGTTACAATGATGTAACCACAAGTGGTGGAGGAACTAATCTACCAATGACGGCTGGTTTGCAAAAACATCCTTATCAGTAAACAAGATCAACTAGTGTTGACCCAGTTAAATAGATGACTTACCTCACCAATTGGAGGTGATAGAAAACAGTTACGGAGTACGGACTAACGGACTTAATTAAATACTGTACTAACAACATAATAAGTTAATTTTTTATTATTATTAAGCTAATATTAATATTAAGTTATTATTAATAATTAACAAGCACCATGAGAGTAGATGTAGTTGAGTATTTTGATGTGAGTTGAGAGTGCTAGATCTATAATATCAGTGCTGCTGTCTCGGCCTGTTATCAGTATCCACAGCACTTGGAGCACCTTGTTCAGAGATTACTCCTTCCTTATCGTCCTCTGCCAGTCTGACATTTTTTTCACAAAATTTGTACACAAACTCGACGTGTTGCATCAGAAAGTGGAAATTGAAATAATATTTATTGGAAACAGTACAAATAGTAGATAAAATGAAGGCTCCCGTTCATCACCTTTACAATATCTTGGATCTATTCTCAATGGGTAAATAAAAATTTGCGAAATTATGCGAAATAAAGAATTTAAAAGGAATCCCTGTTTTTTTTATAACAACTCTCTCATTGAAGAAGACAAGTCAGAAATATTTAATACCATGACAAATCCAAAGGTCATGTGTTCGTATGGTCAAGTTACGATAATTATTCAGTTTGGAAAGAGAACTGCCTTGTAATCAAGGTACGTAACTAAATATTACACAACCATGTTCTCAAGTATTATTCTCTGCAACATACATAGTTATTTTTGATGACACCTTATTTGACTATTAAATTTCATTGCACATTGATTTAACTGTCCGCTAAATAAATTACAGGGGGGGGGGGGGGGGAGGGGGGGGGGGGGAGGGGGGGGGGGTGTCACGTCAGTTTATGTCCGCCTATGTCCTGTCCTTTTGGATTCTATGAGACAACGGACGTGGTTTTTGGGACATTGGCGGACTCGGACGGACATTTGCGGACCCGGACGGACATTGGCGGACTCGGACGGACATTGGTGGACACAGAAGGACATTGGTGGACATTAGCGGACATTGGTGGACATTAGCGGACAAACATTTTTTCGCAACTTCTATGTATTATAATTTTGTACAAAGCAAACGACTTATTATAATCACTTATTATAATCACACTAAAGCTTTGAAAACCGAAAAAAATATTTTTGGCTCAAAATAATCAGGGTACCTTGAAACATGAACTGAAATAGTTTCTAGAAAAAGTTTGAGATTTTTGACTTGGATAATTTTCAGTCTGAGTCGATCTCGATACAAACCTTGGAAGGCAGAGCTCCCGCTTGCGAGCTCGTGTCACAAAGGGGAGGCCTGCCTTTCGAGATCGCATAACAAAGGGGAACCCTCGACTCCTAAATCGTATATATCGAAGGGTTTTACCAGAAAAACTTTGAAACAAGAGAAGGATAAACCCGATAAAGTTATTAACTGAACTGACGTATTACGAAAAACTTTACGGCATGATCATGATCTGCATTAATTTGTTTGATCAAACTCCATGGGTTGCACAATGCACAGTAAGCAAAAGAAGATTTATGAATCTTGCAATGAAATTGTTATCACTGAAGGTGTTATCAATTTATATCAATTTACCCAGCTAACGAATCGAAAGCAGAACCGATTCAGCACTGACCAAACATCAGAGAGATCTTTGGGTCCAGATTTTATGTCCGAATAATATAAGAGGTCTAAAGTATAAAGATCTCACCAATATTCCCAATATTTATCTAAATCCAGTCACTAAATCCGGTCGCTAAATCCAGATCTCTATTTGTGTCGTCAACATATCTTTGAACAGTTACACAGGGTACACAGTAGGCACAGTACCTATTTAACGAAATATAGGGAATATAACAGCAAAAATTGAACATTTTATTTAGCAATTTAGGTGTCCATTAATGTCCGCTAATGTCCGCCAAAGTCTGTATATGTTGAGACTTTAACCCCCATACCAAACCTCTACAACATCACATCTCCGGCCCCAACTTATAATTAGAAGTCCATCATTTCGGCCAGGCTTATCTCTGTTTAGAGGTCTGACATTCTGCGTCAAATAATACAAGCTTGTTCATAATAACCTATCATAAAGGATGAGAAAGTAAGAGATGAAAAAATGAGATTCCAAAATGTATGGCTATTTACTGGCTAAAATATTGGTACGCGAATTCGTTTCGAGTGTGCTATATTATAATTATATCAGTCTAAACTCGAACTTTCCCGATCTACATTTAAAATTAAATTGTAATGAAGGTAATTAAGGAAATATTTAATATTGTTTTGATTATTGTATTTACGTACTGTATTGTATTGTATTGATGCATTTTGTATATTTTGAAAGTTTTCCCAAAAAAAACCTTCCCGACCTATGACTTTTGAGAATGTTTCAAAAACCGCCTGCACCACCTCATGCATTTATGTTTTGTGGACCAAAAATTTGGAATGAACTAAACTACTCAGTGAGATCATTATCATTTTAAGTAGAATGTTTTAAAAATGACGTTTTATTTCCACCTAGCTTTTAATAATATTCCTAATATTTGTCCATAATGTCTGAGCTAATATGAAAGTACATAATTTTAATTTTGGTAACTTCATACAAATATTTGTACTAGCCAAACTGCTTCGCCGAACGATAAAATTGATCCTGTCAATGAATTTAACTTGCAATAACTGTCAACTGATATGAATCAGAACCAGGTCCATTCATTCTTTTTAACACTTTTACTTATGTCAAGAAAAAGGTGCCTATTGCTTCTGAAGGCTAGTAGACATTATCCACAGTCCACCTTAACAAGCAAGTACAGCATCAATTGGACAGATTTAACCAGTATACATGTAACCATTATACATGATGACGACTAATGTCGTGTGTGCAGAGGCTGGTTACCTGGGGACCCCAGGCTATTATGTTCATAAACATAATAAAGATTTGGCGGAATGACAGGATGAGCGCGGCCCAGTAAAGAGGCTGGTTGACAGTACCGATTAGTCGTTTGTTATGAAAATTAAAAGCACATGTGCGCGGCTCTACCGCGCGCGCGCAAATTTAAGTCGCAGTGAGTGCTAAAATGTCATACTCTACGGAAATTGTACTGACAATTTGAGCCTTTCTTTGTGTGAAAAGTACCACGGTTTTCACAAAAGTCAATCGTTTCAGCAATGTAAACGCGTTTATTGTTAAAAATGTAAACAATCTCAATAAATTACAATTTAAAATGTTTAAAAAGATCATTCGCAAAATAAGACATAACAATATAACTAACAAAGCAAAACAAGAGGGGTTGTTAGACTTGAAAACTAGTGACCCAGGCCATATTTTCTTGACACGTGACGTTGATTTGAATATTTTAATGGTGGCTGCTGAGAGCTGATTGGTTAGTGACTGTCACGTGACAGATTAATAAGGCTCATGTCCCCACCATAGCAATATCTAGGAAAATTATAATAAATTATGAGTGAAGTCCTTGAACCTGATAAAATAATAACAGCTTATGACCTTGAAAGTTACTGCAAATCACATTTCATGATTGAATTCAGCTGGCAAGCGATCCAAAATACTTTTAGGAAGTACATGTTCTGGAATAAAATAAGGCAAATTACGCCGCAAACTACCTATAATATCAGCAGTAAGAAATGTGCTGTTATGTTCTGAAAAGTTATTTAAATTATATTATTGAACTCGTTTAATAATAAAATAAAAAAATTAATCTTCCAAAATTATTTGCAGTTACTGGCATTGCACTGTTGCTAAAATATCTGTTAATTTCGCCTTAAAGACGGGTTATATATTATAATTTAAATATCAATTTATAACCATATTACCTGTAAATAAAAAGGGAAGGAAAAACAACTTGAATTAAGTAACTAAAACAAACTAAAGTAATGTTGATAAACTACTGCTACTAGGTCCATCCTCTTCTTCATCATTCCCCCCGTTGTAGAAATAAGACATTAAATTTATCAGGAATAAAACTCGTTTCTCGATGGCCTCAGTCTCAGTTTCGTCCTTACAGACACTGTTCCCACAAAATACTCGCATGAAGATGCTGAACAAGTTCTCTTCTCCCGCTACGCTCTCGCAAATTTCCCGCATTTTTACTGGGTCTTCTATCTTCTCTTTGTTGATCGCTTGTTGCTCTCCTGAAAGATAAAATATCGATTAAAAACCAGCACATACATAGATCAATTATAATAGAAAAATGTTATATAGCTAGCTTTTCAGATTACAATTTGAAGCTCGGATCGAATTGTCAACAACTTACGGTTGTTTAAATAAATCAAAGTGAAAGAAAAGACATAATAAGCAAAATATAAACTTGTGATATAAAATAGACCGATTACATAATAATTTAACATACGTCATTTCGCTAACTAATTTCACTTTTAAAGCTTTACTACATTACATCACTATCATTACTTACTACAAACATTTCACTATTTCACTTTTTCACTAATATTTCACTACTAATCCTTACCCAATATCTTGCAGGTTATAGTAACCAGACTCTCGTATCCACTTAAAACCTTGTTGTTATGATCTTCTAATAAAGTATCGTAATGTTTCCTTGACATGGTAGAGATTGTCTTAGTTTGCAATCTCAAAGCTTCTGATATACTCTGTATTGATACCTGAATATTGTTAGTGTTAATGCTAGAATGCTGTAAGATAAAATAACGGTGGTATTAATATGGAATGATAGGAATGTAGGGTGAAATGTAACACAATCTTTCTGACTATACAGTATGATATAAAAACTTCCAACAATTATTCAGCTGAATTTATGAACAGTGAACAGTAATTTCATAACTCCACAAATAAGCAGTAACCACATTAAGTGACCACAATAAACAGTGACCAGTGACCAGTGACCAATGACCACATTCCCCTTACCTCTAAAGATTTGACAGCATCGTTCTTCTTACACAGGCTCTGATAAAGATTGGTATTTATAGTCTGAACCTTGCTGTTTGTGGACTTTAGCTCCTCTATCTCAGCTAGTAGTTTACTGATAGTTTGCGGAGTGTTTAGCTGCAGTTCCACGTTTTGTAGCCGGAGTTCAGCGCTCTGTTTCTTAAATTCTGCCAGATGTTCCTGTGATAGTTGTGTGGTTATTATTTGTTACTCATTATTATTCATTACTCCATGTTACTCATCAAAAGAGGTAGGATATTTTGTAAAGCCCCCAAATATCAAAACAAGAATCTCTGAAATGAGTTATGATTCTTACAGGGAATTTTATAGGGTATTTTTTTCTAGTCATTCTGATAACTCACCTCCATCTTTTTGCTTTGATCGTTTTTGTGAGACAGTTGTTCGTTAGTTGATTGAGTGAGGTGCTTGTTGGCATCCTGCCATTTGGTAGACATGCTCTTTACAGTAGTTCTCAACTCTCTCTCAGTACGCAACTGTAAGATTTGTAAGATTGGTAAGATTTGTAAGATTTGTAAGATTGGTAAGATTTGTAAGATTGGTAAGATTTGTAAGATTTGTAAGATTGGTAAGATTGGTAAGATTTGTAAGATTGGTAAGATTTGTAAGATTTGTAAGATTTGCAAGATTGGTAAGATTTGTAAGATTGGTAAGATTTGTAAGATTTGTAAGATTGGTAAGATTTGTAGGATTTGTAAGATTTGTAAGATTTGTGAGATTTGTAAGATTTGTAAGATTTGTACAAAAATTATTACAGGAATGACAATTTAGAAGCGGCTTTTCACATCATACTCTAACATTCTACTTAAAGTACAGTTTGCCTGTCGGATTACATTACGGTGAATTGGTGGATAAGCTATTGAGAAGTGCGAAAGATAGAAAATGATAGAGTATGGTTGGGCAGCATGTCAAGACGAACAAGTTTTTAATTATGCATCAAATTTGTGAGGACATAAAAACTACGCAAAGATGTTTAAAAGACAATCGTAGCTGTTGCCAGAATACATATTATCACTACAACCAAAACTAGAAAACAAAAATTCAATACATTTACAAAACATCTTACTTGTTCCACGATATCAGCAATTCTCTGGTTTAATTTTTTGTTCGTCTGGGTTAACACTTTTATCTTCTCTAAGGAACAGAATTGTGTGGTTAATTAGTAGTTAATTAGCAAGTAGTGAACTAGTTAATTAGTATTTAAGTAGCAAGTAGTGAACTAGTTCATTGAGTAGCCATTTTGTGGACTGAAAAGTGCCATTTTATTAAGAGTTGTCTGTCCATTATAATATCAAATACAAAAGGTTTGACCGATTAACTACATTAACGACAAGAGAAACGCCATTGTCGGACGTGAGGAGAGTGAGGACTCCTCAAACTACATTAAATACATTCCTTCTGTAACGTCCTCAATAAATATAGTTACGAAAACAAAATATAATACCTCCAGCTTTGATGTTTTGCTGAAGGAGTAACCGTTCAGCATCAGATGTTCCACTCGAGCACAATGGGCTATTATCGTGACCAGATTCTGGGTTCACATGATCTTCCAGTATTTCAATGAGTTTGGCGGGTTGAATTTGGTTGTCTGAATTTGTCGGTCTTTCTGGCTTCAAACCCCTAGCTCGCGGATATATTGAACTTTTTGACGTTATGTTGATCCCCCAAGTTTTTTGGGGATGTGCCTGAAAATGGTCATTTTCAGTTTCTTGTCTCTTGAATTGGAAGGTTTGCAGGTGCTAACGGTAGAATCTTTGCAAGCAAGCAATTATAGAAATCTTATTGATCAATAATAAGTGGAGGTTATTTAAAAAAACAAAACAGAGAGACACTAAGGTGGTACCTCGTCAGGAACCGTATATATACAATAAATTAAATCAAGTGATGCAATTGGCAGAGCACAATCGTAAATCCTGAGCAATAGATATCATCTATCCCTCGTAGCTCTTCTCCTCAGGTATCAGGTTGAAGGAGACATTGGATATAGGGGCAGTCCATGCCTTCTTTGCCTTTCCACGTACACCTCTAACAGCTACTAGCACACTCCTCATTATATCCATGCTCAGGCGTGTCCTGATGTTACACATCACCTGGCTGTAGTCCTCCTTTGTCTTGGTGGCTATCAACACAGCAAGTCTTCTTATGAAACACTTGGCCTCCGGTGCCATTCCTCCTGTAGTGGTAAATACAAGGGGGACGAATGACCCTTTCTCCAATTGTAGCACTCGGTTCATGTACTGGTTCTTTTTCTCATTCTCGTGCAGAGTGTAGAGCTGTGGCATGGTCTTTCCTTGATATGTAGGCGATTTAGGATTGAAAATGCGCACATCAAAGAAAGTCCTCTCAAATGTGCTCCACACTCCTCTTGCTGATATATCAAGCCTAGCCTTATCAGCATTGTTGCCCTTTTGTTGGAAGTTGGCCGATTCTATAGGTGTTAAAAGGGGCTCAATCCTCACATCCTTGGTCACCAGCCTAAGGTATTCAGCAACGGAGTCTCTCACGTTGTTATGACGGTAGTTCACATACCCCCCTCTCTTACAGTTGAGGATATGATTGTGATCATTCTTGGCTCCGCAATCGCAGAATCTTGGGGTGTTAGGGATGTCCCAACCATACCGGAGATGAACAGCATCTCTGAAGTCTTGCTTGCTGTAAGCATACCCTAGCTGTTGAATGGGGAGACATGTTAGCCAAGCTCCTGACCCATGCTCTTGTACCAGCTGCAATGACTCCCTGGTATTCTCATCCACTTCACTCATTATCTCAGCAAGCTCCTTCTTCAAGCGTAATTCTTTAACTAACTTGAGGCAATCTACTCTGCCCTTTATCTTAATTTTATCCAACTTCATCAGGGATGTCTCCTGGTGATAGATAAGGTCAACCAGCTCCTCTGTTATCTTAAGTGACGTCTGGTATTCCTTCTCCGCGATCTCTACTGGATTAACAATACCAAGCCCCCCTAATCTTACAGGTAGCGATAACATTCTCCTGTGCAGATCAGACACATTCCTACCAATAATTGCAGGGATGAACTTTTCTCTTATACACTTCTCCAATGGGATGAAGAGGTCTTTAGTGTCTTGGATGGTACGCATCACAAAGGTCCACCGATGACATAGGGCTTTGGTATACCCTGATAGGGCTGCCTGAGGTTCATCGAGGGCAATATCTGACAACTCTTCTACATCCTTCACCCATTTCTCTACTTTCTTTTTTACATATGTCTCTCTAGCCTCCTCTCCACCTATCACTGCTCCCAGATGACGCTCCCCATCACATGTGATCTCTATACCAGTCTCTCCAAATAAAAACGTGGCTGCTGGTAGTAGCGATTTTTCTTTTAAGATAAGAATAGTCTTCACTGCTTTAGGGAAGTAGCCTAACTTAGGACCGTTTACACTGAGTAAATCCCACCACAGCCGGAGTTTCTTCAGGGTACCTGCTGCTGCAGAGTCATCTGCATACCACGCTTGCATCAATTCTCCTAACTTTGTCACGCTGGCCAGGATGTTGATAAGAGGACGAATACCGATAGCATACTCTGCCATTGCTGCCACATCCCCTTGCGTTGCCCCTTCATCAGAGTAAATTATCTCACACGAATATGTGTCGTTGACAATGAGTTTGGCTGATTTCTGATAGGTGTTTTTCAGGTATTGGTGAAACGGAGGACATAGCTGCCTAATGTTGTGAATAGCTGCTTTGCGATTAAGCCTGTTAAACGCATTATCAGCATCAACAAGAAGCACTGCCTCTGTCTTAGGATCTTCCCATGTCCTCTTAACTGCTCTGATGGATGCCTCAATGCCTGACTCTAGCCCAGCACATGACTGAAGAGGTCCTGCAGCCTCTTGTATATCATCCTTAATTACCCCAATAACCACCTTGCCAACAATACGCCGAAGAACCTCTCCTACCCCCACCGGCCGTACACCAGGATTACCTCTCTTATCGTCACCCTTATTCAGTGGTACCAGTCTACAGGCCACAAACTCATTCAGACTCTCTGGGTTAACATCCTCTACACACAAACGCTTTGCAAATTCAGCTATTGCACCGCAGAGTTGAAAAGGAAGTTTCCCATACGCTTTAGAGCACAAGATGTGCTTCCACCCATCTGCATCCAAATGGGTTGGGCCACCTGAGCCCTTAACATGGAGTGCCGCTTTCTCAACTAGCTCTGCCGATATTTCAGCAAATATCACCGACTGTGCCTGAGGCGCTGTTATAGGTAGAATGATATCAGCTGGAGGTGTCTCAGCTTTAGGATGTTTCTCTTGTAATAGACTCTTTATCTTTCTATTTAATGTGTGTACCCCAACAACTGAGTCTTCGTTGTTGATGAGCTTCATGGCCTGACATACTTTACCCACCATCATTAACCTACTAAAGCCTTTCATTTTTGATGGATCTTCAGACTTTTTCCTTCGTTTTAGCTTCTCCTGGATGACACGAGCCTCATCCATGAGGGAATTGAGGTCGCCATCCTTCCACTTTTCTAGTCTATCTACCAGGTACTTGGCATTGTCTCTAGCTTTTGACTTAGATGAAGGCTTCTGTAACATAATAGGGATAAATATATGGACTAGCTGCAATGAAAGACTCTCCCAGGCCGTTTTATTCACAAACAGGTACAAAAGTCGTGTCAACTCTTTGATAAACTTCTCCCCACTCTTACCCCTTGGCACCATAAACAAATTCCTACACCACGTAATAATTTCATCATATATCCCCGTAAGTTCTGACCGTATACACCCTTCCCCAACCATGGTACCCCACGTCAAATTATTTGATCTATTCAACTGGCAGCAGTCACAGTACCATTCATCATCTTCACTGGTTTTATGATCCTCATACTCTTCATCACTCATACACAAGCAGGCCTTATGAATCCAAACCTCGCACTCCTCACACTGCAAAGCATCTACATGCCATTCAACTCTGGTTTTACATATAGGACATATGTCATCTATCTTCTCCTTCTCCTTTGGTCTACATTTTTTCTTCTTATCAACTCTTGTTTTATGATTGATGTTTACTTCTAGGACTTGAGGTCTATTTAACAAGGGTTTCTCTGTTCTGATGTGGCGCCGAAAGTCATATCTCGAAGAAGATGATTGAAGTTTGATAGAATTGGTTGAGTTTAATACTTTCTGATTATACACAGGTTCGTTAGTACTTTCTTCTTCAGCTTGTCCGTTGGTCTCTACATGTTCTGTACTGGCTGGGGCACTATCAGTGTGCCCCGTTTGCCCGTCCTTGTTTGCCATCCCTGAACTCAATAAATGTAATAGATTTGTAGTGTTGTAATTAGTTTAAATAAGGTGGTACCTGCAGTAGCTGTCTATTGCGGGAGGGAATCACCAATTTATGACCGGATTGCTTTTCAATTTCACAAAAACCATTGGAAAGGATTTCGTAGTGGCGTTTACAAACGATGAGAACAGGCACAGTTGAAGAAAACATCGGATGAACGATTTGAATGCATCCACTGGAACATTGTTCGGCAATCGTTTTTCGGTAATGTCGCTTTTTAAAATGAGTGCCATCAGTTGATAAACCAATAAGGTCGCACCGCTCGCGCTTTGGAGACGCCTGGAACTGGATTTTACATCTATTAATTATTGTTAGCGTTACTTTTTTGTGGTTGTAGGGAAGCCCAATTAATTTTTATCCCAGCGTATATTGATGCAAACAGCAAAATTTTGGGACCATTTAATAAGTCTATTGGTAATCTAATTTGAATACCTATTAAAATTTGAATATCTTTTTTCATTTAAAATTTGTGATCATTTATTCTATGCTTAAACTGTAAGCAACGAGCAAACTAATCAAATTATTGCTATTATCAATTATAATTATAGTTACCTGTGAATTATTTGTTATCTCAGACAGGTCACAGTCAGTGGGCCCAAAGTCGAAAGTCCCTAAGCCAGCCATATTTTGACAAGGATCACAAGTTTTTTCTTCGCTGGGCCCACTTTTGTCTGGGCCACTTTTTGGTAACGTAATAACAGTGGTTCCGATGACTCCTTTAATGTGTTGATTTGAAGCATTTGACTGAGTTACGGCATTGGGTTGGGGCAAATCTTCAGTTTGAAGATTGAATATTTCACCAGGACTTTTTTTCTTGACAATTATCATTCTACATTTCTGTGACCCCGTATGAGGTCCTAATTCATTCAAATCGCTTTTTTTTTGAGCTGAGGCCTCGTCTGCGCTATTCTTTTTACCATCTTCCTTATCCTTCTTGTCTGCGCTATTCTTTTTACCATCTTCTTTATCCTTCTTGTCTGCGCTATTCTTTTTACCATCTTCTTTATCCTTCTCGTCTGCGCTATTCTTTTTACCATCTTCTTTATCCTTCTCGTCTGCGCTATTCTTTTTACCATCTTCTTTATCCTTCTTGTCTGCGCTATTCTTTTTACCATCTTCTTTATCCTTCTCGTCTGCGCTATTCTTTTTACCATCTTCTTTATCCTTCTCGACGGCGCTATTCTTTTTACCATCTTCTTTATCCTTGTCAGACTTTTCAAAAACTTGATTGAGGATGTCCATGGTATGATGATATTGCATTTCCCAATCCATATTCAACAGATGACCGTCCACAAAATTCCTCAGGAATATTGTCTGATTTACATTTATCTTTTCAACGAATTTAATGTCTGTCATGGTTTGGCGCATGAACATGCGTAAACTCGATAGATGCTCCTCGTTGACGGGCGTGGAAACATCAACATCAACATGATTTCCTTCTACAGTTGGGGCAAGTTTTTCGAGCCCTTTTTCTTGTAATAATTGTTTGCACATTTCACGACTTTGAAAAATTGGATCCAGATCGAATGTATATTTTTCTAGCAGCATCAGAGTTCTTTTCAAGTTAGTGATTCGTGTGGTGACCATCTTTTGTGTTTCTGAACTATCTATCATATAGAATAGTCTATAGATAAGAGATCTTTCAGAGACACTCATTTCTACAAATGCGCTGCTGTTTCTTACACGGGCTCTCAAATAGGCTAATAAGTTAGGAGACTTCTTCGTAATAAAATCATCTAACACATCATCAATGGCCGAGCAAAATCTTCGATAAATTGAAGGAACCTTTCTCCAGCTAGAAAATAGAGTTTCAGCGAAATTGGTTTGTATCAGAGGCGCGATAACAGACTCTTGGTCTTTGATAAAATCAATAATTTTAGTACAACACGATTTTCTCCTCTTATCGAACTTCATTGTAGAGAATATACCAAATGCTGAAATCATAGAGAGAACAGGATGGCTATGTTTTTTGAAAATAGACTCAAAAGACTCTCCATCTGAAGCAAGCAAAAGCAATCCTTTTTCAATTTCTTTAGACTCGATTAAATCTTTTACAAGATCTTTGAGTTTATTCGAAAAGACAGAGCAGAAACTCAAAAAGTCAACATCTTTCAGCTCACTACTTTTGACATAAAATCTAATGCTCGAGTCGTTGACATCCTCACATTCTTCAGATGTATTTTCATTGGTAATGGGAGCCGTATTTTTGACAAGCCCTATTATCCCAAGGTCTGCAAATTTACAGAAAGAAGAAGAAGATTCCTTTCCTTCCGCACCACTGCAATCACTATGGTTAAAATCATTCGCTGGGATTCCATCTTGGTTTTCTTCATCAGTCTCGTCTAGTATAACCTCAGGGCACTTCAGATCAGTGCAGGGTTGGGACGATATCGATAAATCAGGAGGTGATATTATGGTGGAACAATCGTCATTATAAGATCTCATTATCTCTGGAGATGATAGATCAGATTCATTGATCGTGTCGTTCATTAGCAGTTCTTTTTGCTTCTCATATGAGCTCTTAGTGCCTGCTTCTTTGCTCGAAGTTGATTCTATATCCTGGCAATGGTCTGCGATTGGATTTGAACTTTTTGTATCCTTCAGTTGTTTAATAATTTGTTTCAGTTTCGTCAAATCTGTTAGATGCATTTTGTCGGGCCTAACTCGAGACACAAAATTGTCGATGAAAATTCGAGTTGAAAGGTCGAATGAATGAACCACAGGAGCATGGGTTGCTGTTAGATTTATCAAGACATTCCTCAAACCTCTTACTTCAACTACTCTCAATATCTCCTCAGCCTTTTCAACATCTCTCTGACAAGGATTAGCCACACCAAACGCAAAAGCCTCCATAAACCTCACCGCTTCATCATCCAGATTATAGACTTTAGCATAGTCCGGCTGATCAATAATGTCTGCTAACTTGGATCTAGAGTTCTTAATGGCCAGCCGCTTTACAGGATTATCTGGGATAGTATCTTGGATCCCCTTTAGAATCTTCTCGACTCTGTTCCTTACTGATGGCGAGTTTATGAACTTATCGCTCATGAAGTTCTTCAGAAACATGACGGTATGTTCCTCCAGCACATAACTCTCTTGACAATTCTCCTCACTCAGATATCCCCTCAGTCTCTCTTTCAGAAAGTCTCTTGTAGCATCCTTGTTCTGTAATGCGAATGGGTCGTCCTCCATTTGGGACATGTCAAAGTGTGATGAAACACGTTGATTTTGTAGGGTTGTACTTCCAGGGCCGACTCTTTGGCCTCTGTAAAGATCTCCTGAGGTTGCTTTGCTTCTGGACGAGTCCTTTCCTTTGCTGAAATTAAGATTAGCACCAATATTGAAATTCATCCCTGGATTCACTTTCTTTTTGATTGGACCCCCCATCGGTTTAGGTACTGATTTAGTTCTCCTGCCACGATAAACAACCTCGCCGCTGTCTGAAAGGGGAGATTTCAGAAGTATTTGTTGGTTTGAATAAAGAGGTTTAGCATTAGGAGAGGGTGTAGGAGTGCACACAATTTTAATCTTTCTGAATGGTGGTCGATCCTGGGGAACAGTTGTTACAGGAGAAGATGGCACGTGGGTTCTTTTGGCTTTTTTGGTTGGTTTGCTGGGAGCAGGGAGCAGTTCAAGGTCCGGTAACGGTATTTTCTCTTGTTTTTGTAGCACTTGCATGTATTGGCGCCTGAAAGTATTTAGCATTAGAATAATTCTTTATTTCATGTTTGATGTTTGATAAGCTTGGTTTCGAGCAAGTTGGAGATAACAGTATGAAAACATTCCCAATTATTAAATCGTATATATTATAAACCAAACGTAGTTATATATATATTATATATATTATTTTGGGAGATATGTTTGTAGTGGAACAGATAATTAGATGGTAGTTTTTGAATTTTGATTTACGACTAAATAACCAAACGATAATAAATTGAGGCAGTTTTTTTCCCAAAACGAAAAATTAGTTTTAAAGATGCTCATACCTTCCTTTAGTAATGGGAATGAGTTTCCCAACCTCGACAATACTGCTTATCATGGTGTTGAAGACGTTACGTGCAGTACCTTGGTAGTTGAGTGGAAGGGGGATTGCAGTGTGGTATAATACCTGGAGGTTGCAGGATTAAATAATGGTTATTGGGAGTATTGTAAAATATCACGGGGTATGCATAAATGTTGTTTGTACAAAAAAATTCTGGGCTAATGCAAACATAATATAATGTAATATAAGAATATGTTGACCCCAAATCACTTTATAATATTAGTATTATGAGGACAGACTGCGAGTCACCTCAGACTGGCTGGCAGAAGTTTCAAAACAAATAACAGTTGCTCACTATTATATGACTATATAATATGACACACTATATTGTATCATGCGAACGTATCACATTACACAATACACATCTTCCAATCAGAAACAGAAAGAATTATAATACAATAATACCTTGGCTTCGTTTCGTGCTCGGGCTCGCCCTCCGCTAAAGCATCGGGCATTATCGCCCATAGCCCTCAACAGCCATTGAGGTATTATCTCTATTATAATTCAAAAGATTCTTTCTGCTGTACGACCGCCCACGTGCAAATCAGACGATAAATAGGAAGTTGCGTAGTTACCATGGTAACGAGGGTTAAAAGTGCACTTGCAAGTTGCACGTGCAAGGATTTGAGAGGGGCATTTTGATCGGTTTTTTGTTATTACGTGGTGTTCAGTGCGAGTTATAGTTTAATTGGCTGTTTCTTCGGTTGTGATGGATATTTGTTGATGCTGTAAAAATTGACTACGAAAGAATACTATTAGCTTCCTCCCTGTGACCACGGGCTTTCTAGTTGTATTATAAAATAATAACTTATATACGATAATAATATTACATAATTGCAAATTATAATTACATTATAATTAAGTAATTACATAATGACCTCGCCCGAGTATCTAAAGAGATGGTAAGGAGGTATCTTCTTGTGGTTGAACTGGTTATGTTCCACAACTCTGGTTATCCTACATGACTCTGTCTTGCTGGGCACGCCCCAACATGTTCCCTTTTCGAACTCACGGTCTTCTTTAAGCTCTAAAGCAAGGGTTTAGTGTGTATTTGTTATATACTTCAGTGTATGTGTAAACTTGTAAAGAGATGGGAATGTTTTATCAAGTGAAAAGTACTTAATTAAATAACAGTTAATTAATTAAATCAAATTTACTTCTGGCACGTTTTCTTTTTCCTTTTGGTGTAGATCCACCTTGTTTATCTATTTTCATTTCACCAGTCACTAGGTCGGTCATGACGTGAAAACTCAATGTCTCGTCCTTACTGAAAAGAAAACTAGTACAGGGAAATCCGTCTGAAAAAATCGATCTGCTGACACACGAAGCTTTCAGAGGATTTTTGACGTTTTTGAGTTCCATTAGGTGCCCTTTATGGCTGACCAACGTTTCCTAACTTTTCCACGTGTCTTAAGGCCACTTTTTGCCACTTTACCACATTTTACCACCTTTCTTGTTTGTCGAATATCTTTAGTTGTGAACATCGTAAAAAGTTGCGAATCAATCGAGTGTGTTCATATTATCAGGAAGAAAAACTTTTGTTCTAACAATTTTTACGTCAGATAATAAGTTAATTGGATAATTATCAATTAACCAATTAGCAAAATTCTAAAAATTTTTTATTGGCTAAAAATGATCGGAATAGCTTAAAACACGGAGAAAAGTAGTTTTTAGAAAAAATTTGAAAATTTGTCACTCACATTTTTTTTTCGAGAAAAATTTCGAAAATTCAAAATATTTTTTCCCGCCAAAAGTGATCAAATTGCATAAAACGCGGAGAAAAATGATTTTCAGAAAAAAACTTAGTCAATTTTTCGTTTCAAGAATACTTAAATCACCAATATTTGTAGTTGGAGTTCAGTAAATCTCGGCAGATTTTAGTAATAATCAGGAATTACTAACTCTAAGTGGAAAGGTCTGAAACTGAAAAACGTTAAGTTTAACCATATAACGGTCGCGATATAAGAGTTTCATAACTAATTACAATACAGCCTTATCAATTTTCACAGAAACTGCACCAATGGCACAGTCAAGATCGAAACGATAGCCTGCTGTACTATACTGTCATTTTATTGATTTCAATGATGAATCAGTGGGGTTAAGATAATCACATTTGTAATAAATAAAACCTCTCTGTACCGTCAATTGTGCTAATCTAAACCGGCCTACCTGTATTACCAGACCTCTTCTTTTCCTCAACAATCAAACCGAGTTGTTCATATCGCATTTGGTGGGTGATGTAAACTAATTAGTAATACATATTATTGAGCTATATTCAATCACAATACGACACAATGCAACACGTGTATATTATATTATGGCCCTTAATGAGGTATATGAAACGTTCTATACCGTACACTTATTGTTTCTCCCGTGAGAGGCCCGATATGGAGAGATTTTACAGTTTATCACGAAAACGTCTACTTGGTCTCATGGCTCTTTGACAGTTCAAAGAAGGCAAGAAAAGACCAGAAAGCTTAGAATGTCAACTCGCAAGAGCGGGCTACCGGACAACTGAACCCAATTTAGACATTTAGATTAACCCTAACTCTAACCCTAACCCTAACCCTAACCCTAACCCTAACCCTAACCCTAACCCTTACCAATTAAGCAGATTGGTTAGTGGGAACTAGGTTCAATTTGGTTCAGTTGTCAGTCTTCGATCTGTCCCACATTAATCCCGAGCTGATCATCATGGGCCCCGAATATCCTGCGGGAAGAACCTGCATTTTTACTTCACGACGTCCGGATTTCAAATCAACATCCTCAATAACATTAACAATCCTTCCTGATCAGGATCTGTCTCTATTAGCAATTTCCAAAATATCCTGACTCTCGTGGAACATTTCACTGAATTAATTATTACCGGTTCTTTAAGTTTACTACCCCTTGCCCGACACTGTACTCGTATCTAAATCTTACCCTTTCCCGTATGTTACCCTTGTTGATTTTACTTTTAGCCGACCCCGACATATGGGGGTGATTTGAGGTATCCTGCAAATGAAGCGGTATGCAGTACAATACAAAACAGTCACAGTAGATGTTGGAAGGTGTATTTACACTTGCTTCCTGGACCTGGCTGTTCCTCAGTTTCCCTGATCTGTTCTTGCCCTTCTTCGAACTGTAAATGAGCCATGAGACCAAGTAGACGTTTTCGTGATAAACTGTAAAACCTCTCTATACCGGGTTTCTCACGGTATAAAGCGTTTCATAAACCTCATTAAGAGCCATATAAGATACACGTACTGTGTCGTGTTGTGATTGAATATAGCTCGATATGTATTACTACTTAGTTTACATCACCCACCAAATGCGATATGAACAACTCGGTTTGATTGTTGAGGAAAAGAAGAGGTCTGGTAATACAGGTAGGCCGGTTTAGATTAGCACAATTGACGGTACAGAGAGGTTTTATTTATTACAAATGTGATTATCTTAACCCCACTGATTCATCATTGAAGTCAATAAAATGACAGTACAGAAGGCTATCGTTTCGATCTTGACTGTGCTTGTATCACGTTGCGACCCCCACGGTCGTTTCACTATGGTCCTGACGATACAGGGGGAGCCGCGCACTTCGTGCGCGGCGGGTCATACAACGTATCGGTATGACAAGACTGTGCCACTGGTGCAGTTTCTGTGAAAATCGATAAGGCTGTATTGTAATTAGTTATGAAACTCTTATATCGCGATCGTATGGTTAAACTTAACGTTTTTCAGTTTCAGACCTTTCCACTTAGAGTTAGTAATTCCTGATTATTACTAAAATCTGCCGAGATTTACTGAACTCCAACTACAAATATTGGTGATTTAAGTATTCTTAATTGATAATTATCCAATTAACTTATTATCTGACGTAAAAATTGTTAGAACAAAAGTTTTTCTTCCTGATAATATGAACACACTCGATTGATTCGCAACTTTTTACGATGTTCACAACTAAAGATATTCGACAAACAAGAAAGGTGGTAAAATGTGGTAAAGTGGCAAAAAGTGGCCTTAAGACACGTGGAAAAGTTTGGAAAAGTTGGTCAGCCATAAAGGGCACCTAATGGGACTCAAAAACGTCAAAAATCCTCTGAAAGCTTCGTGTGTCAGCAGATCGATTTTTTCAGACGGATTTCCCTGTACTAAACGTTAGCTGAAAGATAACTGAGCAGTTAGATTTAGATTTATAAGGTCCATTATACTAGGTCAAGTTGCAGTGGCAAGAATATCTTATTCTCGGTAGGTTTTCATATTGAAGCGTTTGATAGATACTAAGTTTGATAGATACTAAATTTTCGTTTTTTAAACAAATTTTCGTTTAGTAAGTGCTTTGCGATTATTTCATTCATTAATCCGTTGTGATAGCTTCTAATATATAAATGGCTTAACACGAACATGTAATAGATAGGGGGGGGGGGGGTGTCTAATCTTGATTACGTAATATAGGAGGGGGGTTGGGTCTTGATTACGGGGGGGGGGGGGGGGGGTCAAACCTTGATTACGTAATATAGGGGGGGGGGCCGGGGGGGGGGTTCGGTCTTGATTACGGTTGATTACGGAGGGGGGGGGGGGGGGCCGGGGGGGTAAAAATTGCCAAAATATTGATTACGTAATATGTGAACGACCCCTTATCTCTGTATGGTGGAACAATAGGAAAGAAAAAATGTATATAGTTGTGAAGATTTTGTGTACCGATATTCTGCATTTAAATTCTTTTCATCTATTTACTTCCTCCGTATGTACACACTATAGAATTATATCTTTGTGATAAAGTAAACTTGATAATAAAATTAAAACATACATTTTGACAGGCTTCTGAGTTCTCAGAGTATCAGGGGTATAATCTGGATCACATGCTTGTCTACTCCTCGTTTTTCTTGATGGGTTAACATTATCATCCGGCACAATCCTTTCACTTTCGATTGATTTACTTTCGGTTTCACTTCGAGTTGTGGCAGGAGACTTAGTTTCCTCGGGGACTGCAGCAGGTCCGATATGTTTGGTAATACTGGCAGGAGCGAATCCTGGAAAGTTTTGTAGTGAAGTCCCGTATCAATTATTATAAAAATCTCACTCAAATTACAAGAGCGACTCTATGAGAAACAGGTGGTTCTTTATTAGTATAATTAATATAATTAGTATAATTTGTATAATTAGTATAATTAGTATAATTAGTATAATTAGTATAATTAGTATAATTAGTATAATTAGTATAATTAGGAGAGAGTGAAAGTTGCGGGATGGTGCGGGTACTTGCCAACATAACATAGTATTTTGCAATAATCTAACCACTTGTTCACTGTCATAATATATATATTTCTGCTTTTCTGCTCAGTGACTTGTTCGACCATGAAGTTTGATATATCAAACTTCATGGTCGAACAAATCACTGAGCAGAAAAGCAGAAATTATAGGTTTTTGCCAGTCTTGTTTTTTAAAAGAGCCATTATTCATGGCAGCATAAGTAGATTAGATTTTTAATAATTGTGTATTTGGCATTGACCGGAATATTTTCAGCAAATCAATGTTCATTTGTGATCAAGAACACAAGAGAACACAATTAAAATCAAACAAGAGATTCTGACGAAGAAAAGTAGTCAAAAGACATTAACGCTTTCTTAAAATTGATTAAAATCAGAACTAACAAATCAAATAATCAGTATTCCCAACAAACTATATTATATACCTATATTATATATACATATATGTATATGTATATTATATAATAATAAACTCACTGTTTTCAAGTTTCTGTATTACACAATGTCGAGCGTGTACTTTAACCCTGCTTGGTGCTGCAAACCCTCTCCCACAATCCTCACATCGGGACAGATTCAGATCTGAACAATAAAATAGTTTAAGTCACATTTTATACAGCAATTTATCGGTAAATATTTGAGTCAGCTAGATGATGCTGTAAAGGATAGTGTAAAAATATCAAGTCGTACTCATAAAGACGTTTATTATATAATAAGTTTATTTCAAGTAGAGCTTTTAATTCGTAACGCGTAACATGAAAAATAAAGGGGAAAAAACTTAGAAATAAATTTTGCAAATAAAATATGTCCTACAAATAATCTACTAATTACCTCGTCTTAGTAAACAAATGCAGTTGTGAAAATGAACTAGCTCCTCTATAATGGGCAGAATCTCCTTTGCCATCTCTGGAAACGCCTTAACGCCATCAAAAAGTGTCTTATACTTTGCTGGTAATTCCATCTGAAACGGTTTAATGAAAATGAAAAGATTCACAGATTTCTAGAAAAGCTCGGACTGAGCTTCTCAGAATTATTGGGATCACCATTCACAATAAATAAAATAAATTGATTGAATTCTAATTAGATAATTATATAAGCAATGAAATGGAAAGAAATGTTGAACTGTAAGTTAGAAAGTAAGCATTAATAACCTTCATTGTCATGAACCCCTCAGCCTGATCAATGTTCTCCTCTTGTTCCATGTCTTCAACGCTTTCCAGAGGTGCTGGTATTCTATCTGGGTCAGCAAATAGTTCTGTTTGTTCTGTGGATAAATCACGTGACCTGGTTTGGAGACCACGTGATTCGCTGTAATCACGTGGTGTTTGGTGGAGTAACGAGCACTCTTCATTGTCCTCAGCCCCGACTGTTATCTAGGGGAAATTTAGACTTATTTTCTGTCACGACAACAGATCTTTATTCTTTATGGGTTAATGGCTAAGATTAGAGTCATCTTAATTTTCCGATAAAGGGAGAGATATCCTTTTAGAGTTGTTTGCTAGGACGTTATCGAAAATGGTGACGATCCTCCAAATTGCACTATCAACTGGATGAAGTTTGAATTCTAGTTTTTGAAACAAATTATCCCAACCAAACCCTGTTTCCATTCGGTAGAATTTAAAGTAGTCTGAAAATAAAAACCTCAGTTTTTACGACAACTTCATACTCCTGTTTTATAACAGGTGCAGAGTGATCACCAGTTAATTCACTCTTGACGTCATCATTACATCTTGTGACGTCATCATTACGGGTGGTGACGTTATCATTACGGCTTGTGACGTCATTATTTGGAGTCGTGATGTCATCAGTCTGTCCTATCTCGTTGAGTAGTTCAAATGGTGAACATTCGAAGTCTATCGGCTCTTCTTTTACTCTGACATCGCCCGACATCACAAGGCTAATTATTATAATAATAATTAATCGTTATAATTAATTGTTGTAATTAATCGTTGTAATTAATCGTTATAATTAATCGATATTTTACTTATCACTTTTGGTTTAAAATGATAATGAATTTATAACATATATATATATAATATTCACTGATTAAACTTTCAAGTAGATTTACAAATTTTACATTTGAAACTTTTGTTACATTCGTTTATGATTTTTTATAAGAAAAACTTCATTGTTTGTTACTAGAATGATTATTAAGCAACTTTCAGCAAATTCTTTTAGCCAACTCTCATTTATATTTTAAACAAAACAATATTTATTTTCATGATATTCACCCCAAAAGAATTTATAAATCACGTCAATTAATTAAAAATTTTCCAGCAAAACATTTTCGGTAAGTAAAAAACAAGTAATTCTCTCTGATACTGCGGCCCCTGGCCGAATTTTACAAGTTTCATATTATATTATATACTGAGTAGTATAATGTAACAATAAAACTTATAAAAGAAATAAATATCATATAAATAATAAGTATGCGAATCGAACATAATATAACATGTATCAAAAGTAATTTTTCAGTTTTGAATATACAAACCTATAACAAACCTACAAAGTACTTACTTTGTAGGTTTGTTATACTTTGTAGGTTTGTTAAGGTAAAGCTATTGTGGCGGTCACGTACCTCAACTCATGCAAGAAGATGTCTCAAAGTTTTTTTAAACAGAATATTGATATTAAGTACAGTGTAACTCTGTTAAATTACAAAAACTACAATATCAAATTATGACAACATTTCTCTTTTCCAGATTTTTTGGCAATTTTCCGACTGCCTGATATAAACCATGGGTTTTAACCTCGTCTGAAATTCCGATTTAGATGAAACCTCCACCATGTTATAGTAGACAGTCTAGGCAAGTTCTAACACAAAAATGATCGAAATTGCTGGTGTTGAAGATGTTCAAAAAAATTATTTTGAAAAAATGACAAAATTAGGTGACTTTACTTAATTTTGTCACCCCGAACCTAATTTTGTCACTTGAAGATTGTGCAAAAATTAACCGTTTCTCGGTATTTTAGACTACCTGGATGCATCATTCGAGCGCTTTTTTACCAACATTGACCTCAAAAATCCCAAAGATATGATGTTTTCATAGTTTTGTAGCTTGATGAAAAGATGACACTTTTTGGGTATCTAATCTTGGAAAATAGCCCCCAAATGCCCCTGAAACCACTGGCATCTTGAAAACTTTCTATGAAGCATGAATCAATATTGGTTACTGATTCACGAAACTATATTTACCAATAGCTCTTTAAAACCCAGAATTACAGTATATTTCTCGGCGAAAATATGCTATTATAAGTGTTTAAATGCTATTATAAGTGCCTTATACATATCCTATGGGCAAAAAAACTTCAGAATAGTTGTATAAGGCCATTTTCAACACAATCTGTGATTTACAAGAAATTTGAGAAAGGTCGATTTTTTTGACAAAATTAGGTACTTTTGGCAAAATCGAACCTAATTTTGTCACCCTCTGTTACTTGAACAATAATTGCGCTAGAGACTTGAAAATTTGTACGTATACTTCTGCTGTAGAAGATATTTGAAATATGCAATGGCATGAAGCTAGCTCAATTACTTTTGAAATAGCAATAAATCAAAATTTTGAAAATTCCTTAAGAAAACTTTAAGGATCTTATTTATTTTTCGGGTTAACAGTTTCGCCTTCATTTTTGACACAGATGCAAAAGAGCTAGAAACTTAAACTTTGTAGGAGCAGTTTCAGCAAAGTCTAAGCTTTCTTTTTATACACAAACCTTTTCTTTCAAGCTGAAATTCCGAGCCGAGGCAGTTTTTCAGAGCAAAATGACAAAATTAGGTACCCTGACAAAATTACGTGCCTTACCCTATACCGTAACTGACTGTTTACTTGTTTATTTGACGGACTTTGCGAAACCTACGCGATTTTTACCAAAATCGTAGATCGTGTAGAATTCTCCGTGGAAAATGTCACCAAGAATCCAAAGCGGACCTGCAATTGAGTGGAATTAGTTTAGAACTTTGAAACAATTAAGGTGGCCTAATAACTGTCAAATACAATAATAAGTCCCTGATAATTATTAACATCTTAAATTATTATTTCAGCATTTTATAATGAAATACCTGCTGGTGGGGGGATATCCATTCCAATCATTCCAATGATACAGAAATTCGCTCCACCCGCCGACTGAAAGTTATTAATTATCTAATAAATTATATAATTTAATAATTTCAGTACTTTAATCAATCATAAAATCAATTTCAATACTTAATGCGGTATGTACAACCCACCAGTGTTCTCCATATTTCACACTTACCTCTCCAATAATGTAGGACTGTGGAGGTACTGAGAACTTCTTACCCTTCAGGACAAACACCAGATCAGGCATGAAGGGAACTTTAGCGCAGTCCACAAAGAACTGAAATAGGAAATGCAGGGTAAATTCAAGTAATTTAATCTAGATGTACTTTAGTGTTTTATTTTAATTCCAGATATAATGATAAAATTAGTATAGAGAATAGAGATACGGATGTTTCACCCCAAAAACTATCATAAATTAGTACCGGTTACTGTAAACTAGATTATTTGTATCACCTAATAATTTTGTAGTGTTAAAACTAACCAATCCGCGAGGTAGAGGGTGACCGCCCAATTTCAGTGCAATATTCTTCACATCCTCCTTGGGTCCAACAATCAGGCTTGTTCCTAACGGGTTATGGTCAGTTTGACGATTAAAAACTACCATTTACAATGGTAGTAAAAGTTCGGCTATTCAATAGTTATAATAGTTTCTGGCAACGGGCAACCTCTAATAATATAAGCCAACATCAAACTTTCAGATCATGATCATTATACTGAATTTCTTAACAACATCAGAGAAATATATACAATTTATAATGATGATGCATCAACTAAATTCTAACCTGTATCAGCAATAGCCTGACAGCCTCCACTGCACCCGATTTCTGTATCTCCAATCTGTATGCTGCAAAATATTGCGTTATCAGGAACAGTAAAATTACGATTGAGTGTGATCAATGACAACAATCACTTTAACATTCACCTAATCGATAATTGCATAAGGTAAAATAAGAATTGCCATATAAGTGAGAACTGCAAAGAGAGTGAAATAGTAAAATCCACCACAGTCCACAGTTACAGAAGGTTTCCTACCTGTCCATGGCAAACTGCCAGTAAGCACCACGTGTCACTGGAAGATAAACAATGTCTCCTGAGAAGTAAGCTTGATCCTTTCCTCCCAGGTGTAGCTCTCCTCCATTCACATTACCAGCTGTTCTAAATAATAAATATAAATAAATAAATTGTTTGCAGTAATTTATCGGTTATATATTATATATGGAACTTTATATGATGGATGCTGTTTAAAATAATTCAACCTTAAAAACACTTTCATCTGAAATATATATCTTGATGGTAAAAGATATTCACTTATCACAGCTACTCTTTAAGAATTAAGTTTGCACCAAGTTAAAACTGGCAAAAGTGTCGGCTTCTGCATTTATTCTTGGTGTACACAAGTAAGGAATAAACTTAAACAGGCAAGATAATATCACTATTCTATCATTACATACCTGTTGAGCCAGAAGCTAAATACAGGTTCTTCAACTAAGTTCTGTGCAATCATATTGTTGAAGGGAGGAACCACTCCAGCAACAGCAATTGTGGGATAGCCCATTCCTGTAGGAAAAACTGTCACCAGGATTTTATTGATTGTTCCCCAAATCTACGTATATCTTTGAAGGAATGAATATTTTGAAATGTCCTACTGGAGTACCGGTAGGACATTTTCAGATTTCAGCTTTCCGCGACTCAAATTTCACTGTTTTGACTAAATCTTTTTCTAATAACCATCAATCAAGGTCACTGAGGATTGCACAAGACACAATTGAGGTACTGAAAGTTCTATTACAAAAGAAAGTTTTGATAAATGGAGAATCATCGGAATGTAAATCTAAATCAATTTATAAATAATTATGTAAGGATCTGGACAGGTTAATTTATCACTCAAATATAATTACATATAAAAAGACAAAGAAGTTTGGCTTACCCAAAATTCCATCAAACTTGGCTGTGACGAATGTGATACCAGGCTCTTTAATTGCCTCACCAAACCCTTGCCCCTGTAATTGATTTCGTAGTAATAAATTGTAAGATAGGTATAAGAAATATGATCAACTATTATCTCAACAGATAGCCTAAGACGAATCAGAAAAACATTATTATATATAAAGATATAAGAAGTTATATTTGCAGATACATGTGCACTGTGCAGTGATGATTACAGATCAATAACCACACAGCAGCTTAACTAACTTTAACACTGATTCCACCAAAGTCAACGTTGTCATTGCTGATGTACCCAGAAAGAGCACCGGTTCCGTAGCGAATAGCAAATTCTGTTCCATTGGCATGATATGTGGAGGACTTTGATGCTGTATAACGATTGTGAATTCCTGAAATTATCTTTTGATAAATCAAAAATTTATTTATCATTTATCACCAAATCGTTGGATATCCAAAATTTAGCAAAACATAAGCATCTTCTGTTCCACAGTGCAACGGCTAGTTATATTGATATTATATAATATCGGAATGGATAATACAAAGCAATAACATACTGCAGGCAATGTTGTAGAGAGCACATTCACTACTAGGAACCCAGAGATTGGAAGAACCAGTATCAAACAAAACATTAAATTTCTGTGGTGGGGTCCCAATTGTGATAGATCCATAATACTGGGCCTGAAAATAGTAATTCTAAATGATTAACAAAATATAAGACACCATGAAATCTCGAAGATAGATATTTAAAATATTTCCTAAATCAATAAAATTTTATTCTATGGTGCATGAAAGTTTAGATGGTGAAGATGGTCATACACTTACATTCATGTAGTTATTGAGAATTATATCGATACTGCCACCACTGCGAATGAAATCATGAACAATTGTCTCATACTGCTCTACAACACTGCCATATCCTTGTGCATCTAACTCATGTGCGACCGACTCAATGGGATGTAATTCCCATCTGAAAGAATGAAATATGCATTGAACTCAAATGCTGTTGCTGTTTTCTTCAGTTTTGTTTTCTTCTAATTTTGGCACAAAATGCTCAGTATTTTAGGGAATAAATAATAATAATAAAATAATGTTATTTTTATACAGCACCAAAAGGTTAAATAATTTAAATTTAACCCTTATGCACAGCTGTAAATGATACTTAAATTAACGAGAGTGTGCATCTTTGCCTTAGACGGAGGTGGAACAAGAAACTGTTCAGAAAACAGGAGATAAAAACTGTAAAATATAACGTGACTAAATAAGGCAGATGCACCTAACAAGCAGATATCCAAGAAGGGTTAGCAGGTTTTGGGAATGAATAACCTGATATTCAAATAGGTTACAAGTTTTCCTTAATCTAGACCATAGTCTTGTGAGTGACCACATTTCTAGGGCAGAGTGATAGACTGGCGTACCTTGATAAATTTAAGACTTGTGCACGTACTAGGCCTATAGGACACCAGAAACTAGACCAAAAATTCTTCATAAAAGAGCACACCAAACCGATATTCAAGCATAATAATATTCTAGCTATACAAAATCTATATACATACCACAGTTACCTCGAGCTCTACAAGATAATGAAATTCCGTGCTTCAATATCCTTACATGAGGGTTACACATGTTCATCAAGGAAACCCTGCCTTCTAATCTGTCAGGCAGACCCACCTGACAATCACAACACTAGATCAACCAAAATTTTTAACATCTTAACCCCAAACTTCAGAATGACTGATTTTACTACTAGTGTAATGTGCTTGCGAGGAAAGCTAAAACGTGCGCTACTAGCTAATCAACATAACCACGCCCTGCTTGATTGGACCGTAAAAGACTTTGACTGCACAAATATTATTTTCCAAACATTATAACTGGCTGGTCACACACATCTAAATTAAATTACCCTAGGCTACTGTTTTCCAAGTCTTGTCCTGTGAGTAAAGTACGTGTGAGAAAGTTTTAATAAAATGAATGTATATTTTTGAATTTTTTAATTTTAATTTGAGAATGAAGTATAAAGAAATTTTTAATTAGCATTTTATAGTTTAAAATATTTATAGCTTATTATAACCATTGATAAATTTAAGCCATAATCTTTCGCCTGCTCTCCAATATCCACCTTGAAGGTGCATTTTTAATCCTTGAACTACACAATATAAAATCAAGCATGTTTTAGTGTAGACTTTTTGTCACAACAAGACTGCAACCTAGATAGTAAAAACTTTAAACAGAACCCCTAATGTCTGCTAACAATTTTTCGTATAGTCCTAATGTGAGCCTTGTCTCTAAAAACTTAACTGAACTAGCGTTTTGGTGTGTGCAAAAGCTCCCAGGCACGCGCATTCCTTGCCCCGTTAGTTACCTGTCCTTCCAAAACCAAACAAGCAGTCAAGGACACAAAGTCATACACCAAATGGGCATTATATTTTATGAATTGTTTTACATCTTTTTATTCTGTAAAATGTGCTAAAATTAAATTTCTTGTTTCATTGAAAATTTCTTGTTTCATTGAGAGTAATTCTAAAAGGTTTCACTGAATGTACAAGATCACAATCGATGTTCTATATCACAAACCTCTTCAGGGAGCTGATTAGTACCAAAAGATTTAGAAGCACTACGGCTCCTTTTAGTGTCAGCATTTAAACCTAAATTATTGTTATAGTAAAACAATCTGCCATCGGCAAGGTTAGTTACTTTTAATTTTACTCTTACAGCCCTTACAAATTGTGAAAGGGAAGGATCTACACCCCCGGTACTTCAAGTTGCAACAACAGTGTCTACAAAGGGACCAAAACATCCTGTCCAAACAAATCCTAAGTTCCATCCAAACATAAGCCAAAATTTTGCATAATGCAAAATTATCAGTGAATTTCTTTTCCATAATTCTTTGATTAAAAATCCTTGATCACCAAGAGAGTGATACTAGTCTCAGAGAAGTAACTAACAAACATTTCTAGAATGAATAACAAAGTCAAAATACGAAAACAATCTGCTACAAAATGCAGTTATTTACAGCTGTAGCATGTATTGATCAACTAAAAAATATCAACAGTCAATATCAAGTAATACCGAACAATATTCTGATTGGAAATATGTAAAGGAAATTGATTTTTAATTCTTTTGCTGCATAATATTGACAAATGACAAGGTTAGTGTCTAGAAGAGAAAACAAGTTGCATCTTTCTATTTAAAGATGTAATGATGTAATGATACTCATTTAATATAACTTCTATATTTTAATTAATCCCCCTCCACCCTCCAGGTCTTTCTATGATAATTTAATAGTATGTGTTACATGAAGTCACAAGGGACGATAAAGTCAATAAGCTTGGTTGGATTTGTCACTCTGGTGTCATAGGGGCCCTGCCAAACGATTGAGAATCTTCTTAGGGATACCCTTACCTGAAGACCTCAGGCTATCATGTTCATAAACATAGAATACAGGCCCAGTAAGGATACCCCTTCAGTACATCTACATTAATTGTAGTGTACTGGAATCGATCAACAATAATATCAAAAAGACAAATAAACTTGCATGGTACACAGATTTTGAGAATAGTTTTGAATATCTGACATTTTATTTGAAAGGTAGAATTGAATTATTATATGAAACCGAAATAGAAATCGAACATGATCTCTGAAATGGAAACTATTCGGTAATAAGAGCAATTTAATATAATTTTAATTACAATTGTGTCATATTTAAATGCATACAGGTTTGCTCTAACCAGAGCCCTTTCGCTTGCAGTAGCGCGCGACCGCCGCTATATTCTACTTGTAAAGTAAAGTAAAGTAAAGTAAAAATTATGACATAACATCATCACTTATGTCTACAAAGTATCATCACACTACATGGAAAAATAACTATTTCTCCATCAAATTTAAAGGTAATAATTTATCAAATATTAATCATGAATAAAAACAACATTACAAAATTTAATTTATTCATACTTCCCAGTGGAGTAAAGATTTATAAAACGTTTCTTTGCTACATAAGGATGGAACCACAGATAATCATTGTGTTTTTCCTTATTACTGATATAACTGGTACCTTCAATTCTTGTTAAAACTTCTTTCGAAACATTCCAAAAATGAAAGTCATTTACAATACATTTAGAAATCATATTCTTTTTAAAACTTTCCAATCCAATTTTAAAACTCAAAACTGTCAAGCAGTTCTTCACCTCCGAAGGGAGTTTGTTTTGACCATTGTTAATGATCTGGCCCGGCGCGCGCTACTTCGTAGCACTTGCCATCGGGCCAGTTCTCAACATTTCGAGAAGAAAGCGGCGCGCGCTACTTCGAAGAAATTTAGACGAGTAACATCCGTCAAGAGTTTGTTCCAATAAGGAACAACCCGCTCTGGAAGAAAAGAACACTGAAGATTCTTGACCTTTGTCACACTCTTACTACATCTATTGGATGAAACCAGATTAAGACCTGATCTGCTTGGTCTGAACAAGTCTGAACCATAATCAGTCAAGTAAAGCCATTAATAACCTTAAAAGCTTCAATAAGGTCCCCACGTATTCGCCGCTCTGCCAGCGTTGTCAAATTAAGGACTTGTGAAACAAGCGCGTCATGCAGTACGCGTATACACATGGCTATGTGAACATACAGGTCAATTTCCTAATGAAAAGGCAATACTGAATACAAATAGTTCAAAAGTAACCAAAATTGATGTACCCCCATGACGTAACCACACAGGGGGAGCTGAAACCAGGTTTTCGATCAAACGCTGCCATGTGTAGTCAAACGTTGCCAAAAGTTGCTCTCGTCCAATGAAATCGCTGCATTATGTAAGCCAAACTCCGCATATGAATATATGTAATTCAATTATGCATACTAACTTGCAAAATGCAGCGATTTCATTGGACGAGAGCAACTGTTGGCGACGTTTGACTACAAATGGCAGCATTTGATCGAAAACCTGGTTTCAGACCCCCCTGTGACCAATAAGTAAAAACGATTCATTGAAGAGTTATGAGCAAATGAATATTTTGGTCGCCAGTTTGATCGCTGTATTATGTAAGCCAAGCTCTACATATGAATATATGTAATTCAATTATGCATACTAACTTGCAAAATGCAGCGATTTCATTGGACGAGAGCAACTGTTGGCGACGTTTGACTACAAATGGCAGCATTTGATCCAAAACCTGGTTTCAGACCCCCCTGTGACATGGATCATGGCTATGTGAAATCGCGAGTCACTTGAATGGTGAGTAAATTACAATTTTTGAGTAAAATACAATTTATATTTTCCACAGAAGAATCAATACATATTGAATTAATAAATATCCGATAATTCCATTAATCATTAAAAGTTGCTTTGTAAAATCAAAAACGAAATGCCGTACGCTGAACGCGCGCGGCATCTTTTCGGCAGCTTAATTGACGATGTCAATTCATCTCAGCTCGGCGCGGCACAGTAGCGCATTTCGCCGATCTAGACACAGCAGCAGTGAGCAGCAGTGGACAGCAGTGAGCAGCAGTGAGCAGCAGTGAGTAGCAGTGTGCAGCAGTGAGCAGCAGTGAGCAGCAGTCAAGAAAACAACAATTTCAAGAAAACAACAATTTTATTTAGTATCAATTAAAGCAGACAAAAATATATTTCATATTATATATATAACTAGCACGAACTTTAGATCAGATATCTTAGGGGCGGGACTTGGAGTAGCAAGAGATTGACAAGAAGGTATATACCTTTTACAAAGATACGTCGAGAAGAATCCAGGGTGATACAGGATCGGAGAGTGCAGACCAAAAGTTTACGCACCCACCTTTGCCTCCTGAGTTCTTGTTGTCATACGTTGTATGACCCGCCGCGCACGAAGTGCGCCGCCCCCTACTGTAGCGTCGAAGACGCTACAGGTGAAGCGACCGTGGGGTCACGACGTGATACAAAGTTCTTGGGTGGATAGAATGTAGAAATTTATGCAAACTTGGTCGTTTATACTCCAAGTCCCTTTCTTAAAAGAAGTATTATTAACTATGTTTAGAGTTAGCTTCGTTCAATAATAACAATATCAATATAATCAATATCAATACCAGATAAACCTACCGAATAAATTATTAAATATCGATTAATTCATTCCGATAAAAAATTTTATAAATTTAGATATTTAGTATTTAAAAACATTACAACAAATGGAGCAGCAGTGAGCAGCAGTGAGCAGCAGTGAGCAGCAGTGAGCAGCAGTTTCTTTGCACTTAGCCCCGCCTGTGTAGAGAGAAGCCTCGTTGAGTGCGCGGCGCGGCATAGTAACGCATCGCGCTAAAATTCGGCAGCTCAAAGCCGCCGCGCGCGCCAAGTGCTGGGGTGCATTTTCATTGACAATTAAACTTGGTCAACGATATTTATATACAATTCCTAAATTAAATCAATAATCATGTTAATATGAGTATTCAACACTATATACTCGACAACAAATATGTGCCGGCCCATCAACGATTCAGTCGCCGAAAAATCAAATCATAAATAAAAATATAATGACACAAACATCATCACACATCATCAAAAATACATTTACTAAAGTTTTAAAATTATCTTAAATCTATTGGCCTAGACAACCAAGTTAAAATGAATCTAATTTACATACTTTCCACTACTATATAAGTTGATAAAGCGTTTTTTAGCAACATGAGGATCACATACAAGATATTTATTGTGCTTCTTTTTAATAGTAGCTAAATTTAATCCCTCAATCTTTCCTAATACTTCATCCGAAACATACCAAAAATGACTATCATTTACAGATCCGTTTAAAATAGTCTTTTTTTAAAGCCTCTAATCTTATTTTAAAACTTAACACAGTCCCACAATTCTTGACATCTGAGGGGAGTTTGTTCCAATATGGTCTCACCCTCTCCGGAAGAAAAGAACTGTGGACTTTCTTCATTTTACTGCTACTTTTACTGCATCTACTGTTTGATACCACATTAAGACCAGATCTGCTCATACTGAACAAACCAGCTCCGTAATTGGCCAAACCACTTATCATTTTAAAAGATTCAATGAAACAAAAATCAAATGTTTGCTTTTTCGTTTCGGGAACTGTATGAACTCAGTATTATATCCGACTAATCACACTTTATAATGGTTAAAAAACAAAGTAAAAAGATTTTCCTCGATGGGCCGGCATTCGCAACCGCGAAACGTTTTGAGTACGACAAACGATGACACCACCATCAGCCCTTAATTGATAAGTCCATGGGATAAATTAAGATTTGTTTAATTTCATATTGCCTATCCACTATCCACTATCACCTATCACCTATCACCTATGTTACTTTGCATATACTGCGTCTAGTTACACGCTAGCGATCTCAGTCCCCAATAAACGTGTGACCCAACAGAAGGGATTGTGGAAGGACAAGTACATTTTTCATTAACACTTGCCCTGATTACCCCCTCCGTTGAGCTACGGGGAACATTGATTGCCAGTCTGTAGTCAGATCGTTAATAAATTTTAATTCAAAATTGATTGCCGGGCGATGGTGTCAGTGAGAGACGTTAAGTTAGGTGAACAGTGGTACAAAAATATAATAATATAACAGTTTATCTCTAAGTTAAAATCACTATTTGTTAAAGTATACAAACAGTTCCATTCAAAAGAACAAAGTCCGAGAGCAGGGAGAAGATTTGGAGACTATACACGTTATGTGGGGTTTAAATTTGGTATTAGTAATTTTAGGGTTCGACCGAAAATGTTGGTCGGTTAGTTTTATTAATAGGGAGCAGTCACTGTCATTAGAATTATCAGATTAAGAGCAACAATTAGAATCTAATTTGACATATTGTGGCCCAGAAATCAGTGAAACCAATCATGTTTAACGCAAATTAGACTGATAAGAATAAATTTTTGAGCTATTGTTGTATTTATTGGTGCAATTAGTAAAGTACAGCGCTATGACATATAATATGAGTTGGCACAAAAATAGTTGATTCAATTTTGGGCACTATCCGTCGCGGAGTCGAGTCCGCGGCGGAGCCGCCGGACTCCGGGCGGACTCCGAACGGACTCCGGCGGAGCCGCCGGACTCCGAGCGGACTCCGGCGGTGCTCCGCCAAAATGTATTTACAGTGGACTCGAGTACATTTTGGCGGACTCCGAGCGGAGCCGAGCGGACTCCGAGCGGACTTTAAAGTCCGCCGCGGACTCCGAGCGGCTCCGCGGCGGCTCGGCGGAGTGTCCGCCGCGGACTAAGCAACTAGGCGGACTTTGGTCCGCCGCGGACTCCGGCGGAGTGCTTGGCGGACTCCGCCGGACCTCTCCGCCAGACTTGAATCCGGCGGAGTCCGGCGGAGCTTGGCGGAGTCCGCCAGCTCGGCGGACTCCGCTCGGAGTCCGCCGGACTCCAACAGAGTCCACTGACTTCCGACCTCCGTCTTCCGACCCTCGGCTAAATTTGTCACGTGACATACAACATAGCATTTTGCAATATTGTGGTCAGATGAAAAGGTCGCTAGTGATAAACCTTAACCATTACCCTCACAATGTCAATAGTGTACAACTCTAGTCCTAACTTTGACCCTATAATGTATAAACGTTGACCCTAACCCTCCACCAAACCGTCCGCAGCGAAATATCAATGTCATTGACTGGTCACGTGACCAAAACAATTTTTGTCATATTATCTCATATGGGGAAGCGTTTTTAGCAAGCAAAAATACGTCGACCATCACAGGACGACGCCAGCCAGCACTCTCTACGCTCTTCGAGCTCCGATCGTCCTGTGACGAAGTAAGGACGAAGCCTGAGGTCCTCAGGTAACATCGACCACCGATTGAAAATTCAAAGATTTTTTGACATAAAGGTCAAATGTAAAACTAAAATCTTGATGTTGATTGATTGACGACGTCAATTTTTGAGCACAGCGCCGCGAGCGCATATTGCGGAAAAGGACCGCGTAGCTAGTCAAGATGTTGATAAATATTTGGCTTGTGGCGCGATGTGTTGCTCTAACTATAGCCCTCTCGCTTGCGGTAGCGCGCGACCGCCGGAGGCGGAAATGACCTGGTTAGCTAGGTAAACGCGATGTGCCTTGTAGGATGAAATCCTACTAGCTGACGCCATTCGCAGCTGTGCTGCTCGCTGTACGTCAGCGATCGAAATTTATACGCGTATCCCCCGTTAAGATGTGCCACTCGACGCGCCACACAATTTTTTTCGTTGCTCGTCGCACGTCGACGAACAACGTAGCTCGTTGCGACGCGCCGCGCAATGAGCTGCCAGGCTAGGACATCGTCCTGGTCCAACAAATTTTGGCGAGCGATTTTCTCCAAAAATTTAATGAGGGCGTCGACGTGCGACGAGCAACGAGAAAAATTGCGTGGCGCGTCGGGTGGCACATCTTAACGGGTGATACGCGTATAAATTTCGATCGCTGACGTACAGCGAACATCACAGCTGCGAGTGGCGTCAGCTAGTAGGATTTCATCCTACAATGCAAGGCACATCGCGTTCATTTAGCTAACCAGGTGCTTTCGCGCCGCTGCGGGCGCGCTTGTTCCACAAGTCATTTCCGGCGGTCGCGCGCTACTGCAAGCGAGAGGGCTATAGTTAGAGCAACACATCGCGCCACAAGCCAAATATTTATCAACATCTTGACTAGCTACGCGGTCCTTTTCCGCATGCGCTCGCGCTGTGCTCAAAAATTGAAGTCGTCAATCAATCAGCATCAAGATTTTAGTTTTACATTTGACCTTTATGTCAAAAAATCTTTGAATTTTCAATCGGTGGTCGATGTTACCTGAGTGCTGAGGACTTCAGGCTTCGTCCTTACTTCGTCACAGGACGATCGGAGCTCGAAGAGCGTAGAGAGTGCTGGCTGGCGTCGTCTTCACATAGCCATGTGCCTACGCGTACTGCGTGACGCGCTTGTTTCACAAGTAGGATAGGCACATACAGATCAGCACACATAAGATGGTACGTGTGCGCGCGCGCAGTGCTGACAATTGCGTCGTATTTAACCCCGGGTGCACGTACATCGTGTGCGATTATTTATACTTATCGAAGGCTATAAATGCCTCTTGTTTATTTTAATTTGGTATTGTTCACTTTTAGACGATAAAATACAGGAATTGCGGTATAATAATACGAATAATTAAGATTGTACAATCAAAATACATCACGAAACAGTATTAACTACCTCGCTACTTATCAACTTATACTATGTACTATGCAACAAAGATACACAATGCAATATTTATATACTTATAGAATAAACGAAACACAGTATTCAGTATTTACTAGTACTACCCCGCTACTAGTAGTAGTACTACAACTTAATGCGACAAAGGTCAAAGATATTGTATAAAATATAACTAAATAAACAATACGGTGCCCATGCCTGAGCTTTAAAAAACTGGAAACACTTCTCAGATTAATTATTTTGCTTCTCAAAAACAATTACAAACTAACAATTTTCGACGTTAAACAGCTACATTAAACATTAACATTACACTTCACAATCCGAAAGAAAGGGGCTCGTCGCTGCAGGCCTGACTTTGACTTGATCCTGAAAAAGTACATGTCATTTAGGTACCGCGACAATTGTGAATTGACCCCCCGACAATTGACCCCCTATGTGCTATGTAATTACACTGGGGTCAATTGTCGCGAAATCTAGCGTTTAGTACGACAATTGGCCCCCCGAAAATTGACCCACCGACAATTGACCCCCTTACCTATGTAATTAAACTAGGGTCAATTGTCGCGAAATCTAGGACTTAGTACGACAATTGACCCCCATGTAATTACACTGGGTCAATTGATCGGGTTAGGGTCAGGGTCAGGGTCAGAGTCAGTGGTCAGGGTTAGGCCTAGGGTTAGGGTTAGGGTTAGGGTTAGGGTTAGGGTTAGGGTTAGGGTCCTGGGTCAGGGTCAGGGTCAGGGTCAGGGTCAGGGTCAGGGTCAGGGTCAGGGTCAGGGTCAGGGTCAGGGTCAGGGTCAGGGTCAGGGTCAAGGTCAGGGTCCTGGATCAGGGTCAGGGTCAGGGTCAGGGTCAGGGTCAGGGTCAGGGTCAGGGTCAGGGTTAATTGTATTAAATTATATTGTCGGGGGGTTAATTGTCGGGGGGTAAATTGTCGCCCACCCGTCATTTAATGTAATTACATAATACAATATAATACATAATACAATGTAAATGTTGCTGTTTCAAAATGTATAGCTAACATAAGCGAGCGTTCATGTATGACGTCAGCAGCCGAGGGAAAAGGGTATTTGGAAATGCTGACGGTTGCTGACAGGAGGGGGAGGTATGAGCCTTGTTAACGCCAACAAAAATACGTGAATTCAAATCAATTTTATTAGCAATAAAACGTCACTAATTTCCTTAAAATTAGTACTCGAACTGAACTCTGGTGACCAACTGCTTAAATCAGTCACACACTAATTTTTCCTGCCTCATGCCTACTACTGGAAACTGTATCTCCAGACAAGTGTCAGACGTTACTATGCAATGCATGCATGCATAGTATGCATTGGTTGCTCTTCAAAAAGGTTAGCAAAAAGATAAAGAGTGCGACCCTGATAAACTTTTGGGAGAGATTCATCGACGACATATTTGGAGTGTGGATGGGGACAGCGGGACAATTTACAATGTTTGTCGAATTGTTGAACAAACTGGCTAAATCAAACTGGCAGAACCATATAGAATCAAGGTTAACTTTTTAGACCTTACCTTGAGCTTGGACTCCGAAAATCAGATCTGGTACAAGCTATTTAGAAAGGAAACAGATGCTAGGAACTACTTGAGATCAGATACATATGTAGTTTCCAACCCCACCATGTGTAGAGGACCTGGGCGAACTAAAGGAGGATCTTGCCAGATGCGGACACAACAACAACGGTGACAAACTAGAAGAAATCGAGCCGAAAGCAATACAGAGGTCTATTGAGAACCCAGGAAATCCAACCAGAGACACTGAGGATAAGACACAACAGAGCCTCGTATTTTCCGTACAACACTCTTGATAACATTAGTCTTACAAAGTTGGTTAAGAACTTAATCTGGTCATTAAGCTACTAGGTTAATGTTATGTGGGGATGTACGGATAGTATTTGCCACTAGGAAACACCCTTCAATCGGTAATACACTAGAAAAGAATCGACAACTGGGACAACTGGAAACCCTTGATGTAGGACAATTACAGAGGTGTAATGGACCTAGCTGCAAAATTTGCCCCGTCCTCTTTGACAAGGACTCAAAAGATCATGGTCAACAACATAGAACTGGTGCTAGACGGAACTCTAAAATGCAAGGACAAGCATGTTATCTACCTTATTGGTCATAATTATCACGGCCATTACTTTCACACTGAAGACCTCAGCGTGAATAATTATGTCCGTCATCCGTGAAAATAATGTCTGTGGTATTAAGGTCCGTGAATAATAAAGTCCGATAATTATTTCCATTAATTTTAGTGTGCGTCCCACATAGGCGTAGATATGTCTGTAGCCGATTACTATATTAGCTAATTAGTATACTAGGACAAATATAATCACTCCTCAGTCACATTCTAGAGTTCAGAAAAAGAGTAAAAAACTGAATATCAAAAACTGGATTTATTTCAATTTTAAAGAAGTCATTTTGGCTAGTATCCCGAACCGAGATATTATATGTGCAATTTTTTTCATGGAAGCCTTTTTACTTAGTATCCACTACAGGCACGTAGCCAGGATTTTTCTTTGGGGGGCCCTTGGCGAGCGGAGCGAGCCGACCCGTTCAATCCAGCTGCACAACAAAATTTGTTGTTTTCTTGATTTTTTATGTATCGTGTAAAACAGTGTAGAGAAGTGTACGATCGAAGAATATTTCCAGATTTAAACATGTAACAATTGTTGTTTAAATGCTACCTGAAGCTTTTCAAATGAAATTGAACTGGGAGAATCGAGAAGATTACAAGTCACAGCTACGTACAACAATCAGGGTCAGGAATGAAAAAGGATACGTAGATAGAGTTCCTTATAATCCCTGACTACGACAGGGAGCTGAAGGCAGATCTGGGAGGGTCTGGGCACAATATTATATTGCTATTATTTTATCATCTGCACACTTATACTTTAACTTAGCTTAAACTAATTACAACACTACAAATCCATTACATTTATTGAGGATATGAGTATGACGTAGTTATGTCGATACGTTATTCAACTATTTATTTCTATTAAAAACCTCTGTAAAACCTTTTAGCTTGTGTGTTGATAATAGTTGCTCTCTTATCAGTAAAATCGTTTAATTGCACTGCGACCACCGTGTAGCCTTGTAATACAAGTTAAGTACATGATGAAGGACACAGATTTACTGCAGCGTTTATCAGGACACTCTGCATTTTTCAACGAAGCGAATGAGGATTTCGAGGCTTTAATTTCGAAAATTGCAGAAGCCACGAACTGTGAAAATAGAACAAGGTTTTCAGTTGAAAAGTTTGAAAAGCCAGTCAAGAAGGTTTTATCAAATTTGATGTATAATATGTACTATCAGTTGAATTCTGTCGTCGGAGAAACTCTGAATGCAATGAAAGATGTTGAGGAATTGAAGAGTTCTCTCATCCGATCACAAGAGTCGGTTATCAAACTGCAAAGGGAACTTCTTGAAGCCAACGCCAATCAGTTGGAATTAGTTCAGACCACCGTAAAATCTGCTGTTCAGGACACTGTTCAAGCTGAAATCAAGTCATACAGTCAAGCTGTGTTAAAAGCCTCGCCGAACAGTACAATAACGGAGGAGAACCTGAAAAAAGTTGTGCGGAAGGCTGTGTCAGAAGAGGATCGCAGCGGGAATGTTCTCATTTTTGGTTTAAAGGAGACAGATGAAGAGAAACTATCAGACAAAGTAGACGAACTGTTTGAACAGATTGAAGTGAAACCACACTTCGAAGCTGTAAGGATTGGAAGGAAATCAGCTGACAAGACCAGACCTGTCAAAATTTTGTTATCAAATTCGAATACTGTACATCAGATTTTATCAAAATCGAAAAACCTGAAACTGAGTGAGCACCACAAAACTGTGTTCATTTCACCAGATCGGTCACCTGAGGAGCAAGCCAGACATCATCTGCTCGTTTTGGAGATGAAAGAGAAGGCAAAGAAGGATTTGAATAGACGATATTATATCAGAAGTGGTGTTATTTGTTGTGAGGACAAGATATCATAGTGAACGATGTATAATCATGAAGTTTTTCTTGTGTGTGACTTAACGGGTGATACTCGTAAATTTTTTGTTCTAATTATATAAGACCGTCGACGAGTCTAACTCGGCGCACGTCTTGGTAGTTTATAAACCTTAGGTGTGACACAATTTGTTATCTTTTATTGTCAAATAAAGTACATTGGTTCTTAAATTTTTATGAGATCCCAGTTTATATATTTTTAAAAAAACCTTCTGCTCTGAGGAGGAGAGAAAGTTTTTGTGGAGAGCCGCTCAGACATGGGCACCGTATTGTGTAAATTATTTAGGTATATTTTATGCAATATCTTTGTCGCATACGAGCGGGGTAGTAAATATTGTGTTTCGTTTCGTTTCGTTTCGTTAGAATCTGTCTTCACTAAGTCTATTTAGAGACAATCAGAAATTTGAATCATTTATCAAGACATTATACTTATACATCACAAAACCTCCGACTTGATTTACAACTTAACTTCACAAACACTTATCATATAATACAAACTTACTCTGTCGGTTATCATACTCTAATTCAAGGCAACATTAGCGTCCGTGAATTGATCTCTGCAGGAGCCCTCCCTTACTAAAACTTGTGTCTTCATCTGCCGTATTACTTAGGAATATCGCCGGTCTCAGCTTCAAACATAAAGGTATGATATTCAATAGACGCCGCTCTGCAAACGTCACCTGAAAAGGGATAAGTAGATAGAGCTCCTTATAATCCCTGACTACGACAGGGAGCTGAAGGCAGATCTGGGAGGGTCTGGGCACAATATTATACTGCTATATTATCATCTGCACACTTATTCTTAGTTTTAAACTAATTACAACACTACAAATCCATTAAATTTATTGAGGATATGAGTATGACGTAGTTATGTCGATACGTTATTGAACTATTTATTTCTATTAGAATCTGTCTTCACTAAGTCTATTTAGAGACAATCAGAAATTTGAATCATTTATCAAGACATTATACTTATACATCACAAAACCTCCGACTTGATTTACAACTTAACTTCACAAACACTAATCATATAATACAAACTTACTCTGTCGGTTATCATACTATAATTCAAGGCAACATTAGCGTCCGTGAATTGATCTCTGCAGGAGCCCTCCCTTACTAAAACTATCGCCGGTCTCAGCTTCAAACATAAAGGTATGATATTTAATAGACGCCGCTCTGCAAACGTCACCTTATCACCTACCTGAAACAGATTTTAAGATAAGCAACTAAATAAAGATTCGTTGAGATTCTGAGTTTCTGCCCTGACGGCTAACCAAATAAAATTTGGTCGGACAGACTCATCTCGCAAATTAGGAAAAGCAGCTGAGGTTTAAGATATTTACCTTCTTTCAGATTTCTTTTTTAGACTGAACTAAACTTTAAACGATAACCTCTGAATGATCTGAACAACTAACTTTAAGGACATCGATCCTAAGAAATGGCCGTTTTTAAAAGCTTTAAAAAATTTCAAAGGGTCTACACAATGTCAATAACGCGCGGCTGGCTGGCGCTAGATATTGTAAAAGGCTTACGATTTTTTCCTTTATTCATCAGAAAGTCAATGTGGCAGACATAAAGAGCTAAAACTCTGTCAAAGCTTCTAGATCAATCTTTCGATACTGTTTAGGAAAAGTTAGTGGATCACTGGATCCGTCCCTGAAGTGAAACAAATGTTACTATCTTGCAAATGTTAACCATTTTATTTCGATTAGAATCGAATTTAACATACTTAAACTTGATATGATGTAATAATGAGGTACGTGTAAAAATCAAGGGTATCCCTCGAGCCAGTTCAGCTTGTGTAATATAACAAAATAAATAGGGAAAAATAAGGGAGAGTACCTGGTGCCATGCTGTGTCAACAGAAGCGCTAAGGATAAATTCAGTGAGCATTAGTTGGAAAGGATTGTCATCAGTTACTGTGTGAGTTAGTGTTGTGGTGGACGAAAGGATAAGCCGCTGATCAGGGATATAGGCCCCTCCTCACGAACTCTCTGCTGTGTTGGCGCAACGAGTGAGACTTTGGGGTGGTCAAAAGATGTGATGGTCCCGTCAAGTCTTGGCGAAACTCAACATAGGTCAGATAGGTAGAAAACAATGCCATTGGAAAACTCTATCCAATGCAATAGTCACATTATAGTCATTTCTAGAAAAAAATAAACCTGGTTAATGTTGTTTAATGTGAGAGAATAAGATAAAAGAGTCGACCAATTTTTGTCAGTGTAAATATTGTCAAACAGCGGGCTCCAAAATCGTCTAGGGGGAAAGAGCCCTGAATATCAGCTATCTGCCTTAGTACCTTGGCTCTAAAGTCTAAATTATGCAGCGATGACGACATAAAAAGTCGCTGTATCGTGTGTGTATCATGGCAAATCTTGCTTTGTCAGAACTAAAAGAAGGTTTAGGAGCAAAGTAAATATCAGACTTAAGATATGAAAGCACAGAAAGACTGAGTCAAATGTACAATTGTAGCTGCTGTCAGCTATTCTGCATCAAATAAAATATTAAGGGGCCATCTACTTAGGACGTCCAGCAAAAAGGGAGGGGGAGGTGGTTTTGGAATTTCGGACAAATCCGGACAGTGATAGGGAGTGGTTTCTGAAAATCCGGACGTCCGGAAATTTTGGCAGAATTAACGAAAAAGTCGCATTTATTTCAACTCTTTGACACTAATTACTCAGTAAGTTTAGATCCCTGTATTTTGAACGAGAAGTCGTTTCCCAGAGCAGCTCATGAGAGCCGAGACACAACTCGCATATTCTGCTCCTGCCTTAAAACTTATTCCATTGGATGGCTACCTATACTTAAGTACCTTAATGTAACTGTGCTAAACTTGTTCGACACTAAATGTAATATTATCTATTCTAAGTGACTACACATTTTATTAACAATGAATTTGAGTTGGTTTTATTTGTACTCTTTAAAGTAGCTGGAAATCAGGACGTCCGGGGGAGGGGGTTTGAAAATTCGGACACACCCGGACAGGGGGAGGGGGTGCTCCCCGGGGGTGGTCTGAAAATCTGCAATTTTGACGGACGTCCCAAGTAGATGGCCCCTAAAGTCTAAACAAAAGTTCTCAAAACGTACACAACGAGAGAGTGTCAACCTACATGTCAATGAAACAGACTGTTTTATTGTTTGAGACAACACGTGTGTTTGCGCGCAATTCTGGAATAATCCGAGAGATGAACTGTAGCGAGTGTAACTTTAGTGTGCAGATGAGTATGTATTTCGATGTATACTATTTCTGCACGTACAGGATCCTTTGTAAGGGGTCATTCACATATTTAGTTATCACTCGCTAAGGAAAAAGGGGTGGGGGAATAGGACATGGTTTATAATACACGCTTAACATGTTACTGTTTGCTAACCAATACAGCAATACAGATACTGGGGTAGGTTCACTGATAGTGTTTCTCAGAGATATAGATAGCTGTAAATTATGCTAATAAATATATAAAAATAAATATGGTCAAATGTTAAACAATGAGATGATTTAAGAGAAGCAAATATTAGTGGACTGAAATTATAATCTGATAAAGTGCAGCTGTGAACTCAAATGTATAAAACAAACTCACAATTCGGATCGAACAGTTTAAAATGAAACACAATAAGACAGAGTAATTGGTAAAATGTTAAACAATAAGCTTTACTTATAGTGTTTCTCAGAGATGGCTGTAAATTATGCTAATAAATGTCCACTTTTTGGACTGGAAACATGATTGTAGGGAATAAATCAATAATACTGTTTGCTAACCAATATTGGGATATGTTCACTTATAGTGTTCCTCAGAGATGGCTGTAAATTATGCTAATAAATATCCACTATTTGGACTAGAAATAATTTAGGGAGTTAATCAATAAAATACTGTTTGCTAATCAATATTGGGGTAGGTTCGCTTATATAAGTGTTTCTCAACAAAACACTTGTCCAAAATACAATTAAAATTAGAGAAAATTTACACCTTGACAACATTTAACAAATGTACTATTGCAAATGACAAAAGTGTAATAAGGTAACTGGTAACAAGTCTGCTGGTTATTGAGAATTTAACATTAAAATATGTCCCGGCCCTTTGAATCATCCGCCGAATGATCAACCGAATGATTGCAACAGACAAAGAAACAAACAAAATTTGTTAAATTGAGTGCATGATCAAAGAAGGTATATTAGCTCCCTACAAAAATCTAATCCAATGAGAAAATTAATCCAAAGTCCAATTGCAAACGACAAAAGAGTAGCACTAGCAAGGTAACTGGTAACAAGTCTGCTGGTTATTGAGAATTTAACATTAAAATATGTCCCGGCCCTTTGGAGCATCCGCCGAATGATCAACCGAATGATTGCAACAAACAAAGGAACAAGCAAAATTTGTTAAATGGAGTGCATGATCATGAAAGAAGGTATATTAGCTCTCTACAAAAATCTAATCCAATGAGAAAATAAATCTAAAGTCCAATTGCAAACGACAAAAGTGTAGCACTAGCAAGGTAACTGGTAACAAGTCTGCTGGTTATTGAGAATTTAACATTAAAATATGTCCCGGCCCTTTGAATCATCCACCGAATGATCAACTGAATGATTGAAACAAACAAAGGAACAAGCAAAATTTGTTAAATTGAGTGCATGATCAAAGAAGGTATATTAGCTCCCTACAAAAATCTAATCCAATGAGAAAATTAATCCAAAGTCCAATTGCAAACGACAAAAGAGTAGCACTAGCAAGGTAACTGGTAACAAGTCTGCTGGTTATTGAGAATTTAACATTAAAATATGTCCCGGCCCTTTGGAGCATCCGCCGAATGATCAACCGAATGATTGCAACAAACAAAGGAACAAGCAAAATTTGTTAAATGGAGTGCATGATCATGAAAGAAGGTATATTAGCTCTCTACAAAAATCTAATCCAATGAGAAAATAAATCTAAAGTCCAATTGCAAACGACAAAAGTGTAGCACTAGCAAGGTAACTGGTAACAAGTCTGCTGGTTATTGAGAATTTAACATTAAAATATGTCCCGGTCCTTTGGAGCATCCGCCGAATGATCAACCGAATGATTGCAACAGACAAAGAAACAAGCAAAATTTGTTAAATGGAGTGCGTGATCAAAGAAGGTATATTAGCTCCCTACAAAAATCTAATCCAATGAGAAAATAAATCTTAAGTCCAATTGCAAATAACAAAAGTGTAGCAAGGTAACTGGTAACAAGTCTGCTGGTTATTGAGAATTTAACATTAAAATATGTCCCGGCCCTTTGAATCATCCGCCGAATGATCAACCGAATGATTGCAACAGACAAAGAAACAAGCAAAATTTGTTAAATGGAGTGAATGATCAAAGAAGGTATATTAGCTCCCTAAAAAAAATCTAATCCAATGAGAAAATAAATCTAAAGTCCAATTGCAAATAACAAAAGTGTAGCAAGGTAACTGGTAACAAGTCTGCTGGTTATTGAGAATTTAACATTAAAATATGTCCCGGCCCTTTGGATCATCCGCCGAATGATCAACCGAATGATTGCAACAGACAAAGAAACAAGCAAAATTTGTTAAATGGAGTGAATGATCAAAGAAGGTATATTAGCTCCCTACAAAAATCTAATCCAATGAGAAAATAAATCTAAAGTCCAATTGCAAATGACAAAAGTGTATTTTTGATGTGTAATCAGTAACGCCCTACACCTATATTAGGTTTTTCAGGCAAAAGCTTTACTGTAATCGAGGGCATTGCATGCAACAAGTACCTAGCTTCAAAACTTTCACTTATCTAAAAATGGCTTGGCTGTAAAAACATAGAGGCATTTAAACGTCTTACCTAAATATCTACAATACTCAAAGACAAAGGATTACGATTCTACTTGTAGTAGTAAGGTAACTGGTAACAAGTCTGCTGGTTATTGAGAATTTAACATTAAAATATGTCCCGGCCCTTTGAATCATCCGCCGAATGATCAACCGAATGATTGCAACAGACAAAGAAACAAGCAAAATTTGTTAAATGGAGTGAATGATCAAAGAAGGTATATTAGCTCCCTACAAAAATCTAATCCAATGAGAAAATTAATCTAAAGTCCAATTGCAAACGACAAAAGAGTAGCACTAGCAAGGTAACTGGTAACAAGTCTGCTGGTTATTGAGAATTTAACATTAAAATATGTCCCGGCCCTTTTGGAGCATCCGCCGAATGATCAACCGAATGATTGCAACAAACAAAGGAACAAGCAAAATTTCAAATTTGTTAAATGGAGTGCGTGATCAAAGAAAGTATATTAGCTCTCTACAAAAATCAAATCCAATGAGAAAATATTGTTTTCCGATATTACAATCACAATCCACGGACATGACTAAAAATGACTGACACGTCCCGCGCGGCATCAGAAATATGGGAGGAAATCTGGCACCACGATTTGTGGTGCCAGTTGTGGCCATGGATAGAGCCCTCTTTGCCGCCTCCGGCGGTCGCGCGCTACTGCAAGCGAGAGGGCTCTGGTTAGAGCAAGGCGTCGTCCTGTGATGGTCGACGTATTTTTGCCCGCTGGGATCCGGCCGAATGACGCCACATGCAACGTGTAAGGTTAAACTAAAAACGCTTCCCCATATGAGATAATATGACAAAAATTGTTTTGGTCACGTGACCAGTCAATGACATTGATATTTCGCTGCGGACGGTTTGGTGGAGGGTTAGGGTCAACGTTTATACATTATAGGGTCAAAGTTAGGACTAGAGTTGTACACTATTGACATTGTGAGGGTAATGGTTAAGGTTTATCACTAGCGACCTTTTCATCTGACCACAATATTGCAAAATGCTATGTTGTATGTCACGTGACAAATTTAGCCGAGGGTCGGAAGACGGAGGTCGGAAGTCAGTGGACTCTGTTGGAGTCCGGCGGACTCCGAGCGGAGTCCGCCGAGCTGGCGGACTCCGCCAAGCTCCGCCGGACTCCGCCGGATTCAAGTCTGGCGGAGAGGTCCGGCGGAGTCCGCCAAGCACTCCGCCGGAGTCCGCGGCGGACCGGAGTCCGCCTAGTGGCTTAGTCCGCGGCGGACACTCCACCGAGCCACCGCGGAGCCGCTCGGAGTCCGCGGCGGACTTTAAAGTCCGCTCGGAGTCCGCTCGGCTCCGCTCGGAGTCCGCCAAAATGTACTCGAGTCCACTGTAAATACATTTTGGCGGAGCACCGCCGGAGTCCGCTCGGAGTCCGGCGGCTCCGCCGGAGTCCGCTCGGAGTCCGCTCGAAGTCCGGCGGCTCCGCCGCGGACTCGACTCCGCGACGGATAGTGCCCAATTTTGCGTCCGATTAACAGGCGATACTGTACTCGTAAAATATTTGTTTCAAATATTAGACCGTCGAAGAGTGCGCGTCTTGGTCACTGCTAGTAACAAACTGCTAGTAACAAACTGCTAGTATTACACTGCTAGTAGCACACTGCTAGTAGCACACTGCTAGTAACACACTGCTAGTAACACACTGCTAGTAACACACTGCTAGTAACACAAGTAAAATACAATTTTAAGTAAAGTACAATTTAGTAATATTGCTAGTAGTACACTGCTAGTAACACACTGCTAGTAGTACACTGCTAGTAACACACTACTAGTAACACCATTAGTCACGGAATATATTTGTTATACTATTAATTAAAACAGAAAATTAGTTTTTTTCAACGAGGATTATAAACTTACGACAATTAGTCAGAAGTAGAGCAAGCAGCAATGCTATCTTTGTCTGAAGCAGCATCTTTCACAAAAACAAACAGTTGTGAACTTTCCGATCAGACGATTAAATGTGCGATCAAAGTACAACGTATCAATGTAAAGTTTGAAATTAACTACCGTCGTGATTTGTTGAGTTATGTAAGAGCACCCCAGTGAGCACGTGCATTATCTACCATTCAAAATATTTCGGTTTACGGATTTTGAGTTGATTTTGAGTTCCTTATTTTGTGGTATAAGTTGTTGTTGATCATGTGGAGATTTAGAATTTCAATCTCAAATTCTCAATATGGTGGTTGAGTTGGTGGGACGGCTAAATTACTAGAATTTGTTAACTCGCAGATAATGTTACTACAGTGGAACACAAACTGAAATTCTATACTTATCAGTACTCACCAAATGGTATGATCTATAAAATGATGAGTTGGGTGATGGTGCTCGTTGCTGGTCAGCGGTTATAGTTAAAATGCAGTAAAGTACCGTACAGTATACGTTTTAACTGCTAATAATTTTATCAAAATCTATCAAATAATTTGATTGATGATAGAAGGCATCAGGAAGTACTCGGCACTATAACGATAACTACTTACTACTCGGCACTATAACGATAACTACTTACTACTACTACTTACGATGCGTTACATGAAGTTACCGTACTATCACTTTGCTGGCCGTGAATGAATGGGAAAATGAACCCAGCGACCGATTTCAAAAAATATATATTCCCTTTCGTGGTGCTTTATACTCAAAATTAAACGAAAATTAGCTAAAAATTAGTCGAAAATTTAGGTTGGGCACGAGAACTGTTAGTTAGACTGTAAACACTATAATCTTATTGTGTAATTCCACATGATAATGACAAATATCTATCCTCATTTTTAGATATTTGTCATTATCATGTGGAAATTAATTTAAATTTTCCGGCAAGTTCCGGCTGCCTTATATTTTACCCTCCAAACACCGGTTTTGGTCCGGCAGAATCCGGCTAACCGGATAGTAAATTGATATCCGGCAAGATCCGGTCCGGCAGCCAAAAGCCCATAATTACGGTCGGTTCCTAAAAGGTACGTCAGAACTGGTAACTTATGGTGATTACCATACTACACATTGCATTAGGCTTCCTTTAAATATCAAATTGATTTGTTTGTAATCTAATTTAGATCAAAACAGGCAGCTATGATAATCATAATGAGAAGGGTAAATAGAAACAGTTAACTTTTGGTTAGGAAGGTACATTGAAACCAGTAACTTTTAGTGATTGTGGTAAGGAGGAACATAGAAACTGGTGACTTATCCTATCCCTGGTATATCATAATTAATAATCTTTATTTCTGACTGATAAATGGCATTTTGGGTAGGTTGACAATTAGTGTTTACATCAAAAGTAACTTAGATCATGTGAAATCGTAGTTTTGCTCAGAATTTGAGAGAATGAAACTTGCATGAGAAGGTGGCGAAATGAAATAAAATTCTTAAACACCAAACTGTGTTGAGGCTCTTGTGTTGATTGGCTCAATGGTATATGTTTAAGTAACAGGTTAAAAAAATGTGGAGTGCCTATAATAATAGGGAGGGACACTCTTGAAAGTATTTTCAAAACTCGGTCCTAACTTTGTCTGGGTGTTTCTGTTTACAGCCCATATTCCAATTCCTTAACATAAAATGAGTTTATCTCCATAAGTTCCCTGCAAGTATCAATCATATTTGACATGATCTCTTTGCTAGTGTATGTGATCTTTTTTCCATTACAATGACTTTCTTGAGTTAATTCTCATAATTATTATAGGTGTTATGCCACCAAAAGGAAAGAAAGGAAAGGTGAGTTGTGTTTAATTTTTAAATTTTATCCGTATCAGCACACAATGTATAACTTAATATTTTATACAGTACAGAGTTTTGTTATTAACAATAACTTAAAGTTATTTGCTGGTAGTTTTAGTTTAAAACTTTCACTATCAGCGTAGCTCACTGAATGAATTTTATTACAATTCCAATTTCTCTGCTTCTTAAGATTATCTGGCTTATCTTCGTTTTCCATGAATCAAGTAATTGCATGAATAAAGTATGACTAGATGTTAAATATTGTTGCCAATATTTTTGTGTGGGAAACAGTTGCTTCACTAGTTGTTACCAGCGTGTTCAATAGTATTACCCAGATGCCACTGTGTTACTGTGTACATAAAACTTCCTCACACATTGATTAGGTAAAAGAAAAGTAACATGTTTATAGCTTTATAGGCCACCAGCTGCATGTGAACATGATATTGTTTGAATCAAGGGGCATAACATACATAAAATCTGCATTCTGCATTTAACATTTGAAAGAAATGAAATTAGCGGGCCAGCAATCCTGCATGTTTGTCTAGCACTCTCTGGGAAGCTATCACAACTCATTAGCAGAGAATGCATATATAATATATATAATGGATCTCCAGCACAGCAAGCAAATTAATCTGTATAATAAATAATGACGTCATGGTTTTCATAACCTGTGCAGCATGTTGTAACAGCTTGCTTATTTAAAACGTGTTAGAATCGCATATTGGACACCATTAAATGGGGTATCCAAAATTCTGATAGATTTAGATTTTAGAGAAATGTTTTGGCACACCTCTGAATGAACCAGTTCTGTGGAAATTTAACATTATTTGTTATAATCGTTTTAATTTGACGCCAATTTAACCACAGTTCCTATAGTGTGTAAGTTACAATCAGTATGCACTTAACCTACCTAATATCATATTCTCTAGCATAAAATATGCGTTGCATGCAAGAGCTACCTATTCTATACTTGTTTAAATTCATGCACGATAGATTTGTCGAACTTCGCAAATCTGCATCCTCTGTACACTTTGCGATCGTGTGTTTTGCTTGCCTTCAGTCAGTTGCAGCTGTTCAACATAAATCTTTATCTTTCTGTTGTTCAACATCATAAAATGTTCATGGGCTGCTTTTTTGTTCACATAGGTACCCTTAAAAAGTTGATGTAGATTAATGACTTCTGTTAATCTCATACCACAACACAAGCCCTTTCTCAACGAAAACTCAACCCTTAAAAGCTCAAAGGCCTCTGAAAAAAGTTGATTTTTTGGTTTAAAAGTTCTTGGAAAGGTACAAAAGACACACTACACAGAATCTAGTGTTTTCATCGCTAGAACAGTACATTTAGTCAATCTTATAAATCATCATACTAGTAAAGGATCTGACGACATTCCCGTCTATATAACTTCCGCCCCGGGGTTTGAGACTTGGAATACCTCAAGGGACCCATTAGAAACAAATTTGGCTTGGGTAGAAATTTTGGCTATGGGGCAGTTTTGCGCAATTGACCACGCCCTTTTTTGGCGCTTTTGCAACTTTAGAATCAAAATAACTCCGCTTCTAATTGGAATTAGAAGCTCAGCTTGGCTTTGAAGTTGTTCAGAATCATCACATTTAGGGGGGTAGAGCATAATTTTAAAGTCAACAGACATCGGGTTGTTGAGTTATGTGACCACACCCTTATTTACCCTCGCGAGTCGTGATTTTCACACTAAATACGAGATATCTCGGCTTCTGATTGAGCTACATGCTCATCCTGGGCATTAAAATGCTCAGAATCATCACATTGAGTAGGGTAGACCACAATTTTAAAGTCCTCAGATGTCAGGTTGTTGAGTTATTAGGCCCCAACCTGTTTTTACGCTCTTGCGGGTAGCGATTGCAGCGCTTAAAATCAAAATAACTCAGCCTCCAATTGAGGTTAGGAGCAAAACACGGGCAGCAAAATGTTCACAATCATCACATTGAGTGGGGTAGAACGTAGTTTCAAAGTCCTCAGACGTCAGGTTGTTGAGTTATTAGGCGGAACCCTATTTTTACGCTCTTGCGAGTCAACACTTAAAATCAAGATAACTCGGTTCCTGATTAGAGTTAGGAACAAAACTTGGGCATTGAAATGTTCAGAATTATCACATTAAGTGGGGTAGAACTTGGTTTCAAAGTCTTCAGACGTCAGATTGTTAAGTTATTCGACGGAACCCTATTTTTACGCTCTCGCAAGTAGTGATTCTATGCTTAAAATCAAAATAACTCTGCTCCGGATTAGAGTTAGGAATTAAACTTGGGCATGGAAATTTCCAGAATTGTGAACATTTTTATGCCCAAGTTTAGTTCCTAACTCTAATCAGAAGCCGAGATATTTTGACTTTAAGTGTCCACTCGCGACTTGCGAGAGAGTAAATATTATGGTGTGGGCCTAATAACTCAACAACCTGACGTCTGATGACTTTGAAACTACGTTCTATCCCACTCAATGTGATAATTGTGAACATTTTGCTGCCCGAGTTTTGCTCCTAACTTCAATTGGAGGCTGAGTTATTTTGATTTTAAGCGCTGCAATCGCTATCCGCGAGAGCGTAAAAACAGGTTGGGGCCTAATAACTCAACAACCTGACATCTGAGGACTTTGAAATTGTGGTCTACCCTACTCAATGTGATGATTCTGAACATTTTAATGCCCAGGATGAGCACGTAGCTCAATCAGAAGCCGAGATATTTCGTATTTAGTGTGAAAATCATGACTCGCGAGGGTAAATAAGGGTGTGGTCACATAACTCAACAACCCGATGTCTGTTGACTTTAAAATTATGCTCTACCCCCCTAAATGTGATGATTCTGAACAACTTTAAAGCCAAGCTGAGCTTCTAATTCCAATTAGAAGCGGAGTTATTTTGATTCTAAAGTTGCAAAAGCGCCAAAAAAGGGCGTGGTCAATTGCGCAAAACTGCCCCATAGCCAAAATTTCTACCCAAGCCAAATTTGTTTCTAATGGGTCCCTTGAGGTATTCCAAGTCTCAAACCCCGGGGCGGAAGTTATATAGACGGGAATGTCGTCAGATCCATGACTATACTGTCCTACTGCATCTATACTTATTTTACTAAGATTACGTAGCTAACCTTATCTAGTCACATACACTTAACAAGAATACAGTATCTGCAAGCGACTAGTAGAGAATATTACCATGATTTTATGGATAACCATTTTCAATCACCATTTCACTTTTCACTCATCACACTCAGGGGGGAGGGGGAAAGAAGAAGCAAAAGGGGCCTAAAAGTAAATTAGATCCCGAAGAGCTTGAGGCAAAACGAGGTGAAATTTATTTGATATTTACTACTTCGAAATTTTTGATCTGCCATAATATGAAATTATGTAGTATTTCTTTTGGTCATGAAACATGATACCTACAATTTACGTGCACTCATATTTCAAATAAAAAGCCTCACTGTTGTTGTTGTGTCAGTTTATGAATAATTTTGCTGTATATTGCATTGTTCAGTTACTGAAATTTTTGATCTGCCATAATATGAAATTATGTAGTATTTTTTGTTGTGATACCTACAATTCACATGCACTCATATTTTCGAATAAAAAGCCTCACTTTTGTTCTTGTGTGAGTTTATGAATAATTTTGCTGTATATTACATTGTTCAGTTACTACTGAAATCGTATTGATGTGGCTTGCTCAACATACTCGATACCATTGCCAAATGTAACGTCATATCTCGCTGTTGTTAAATATTGAATCTGTAAATATTTTGAGCACATATTATATGACAATTTCATTGACAATTAAAGATTTCAAATGCTAATTTTATACCTTGATTTGATAACCAATTTATTCATCTGATTTTCAACAGTTTATGCGTTTTCATTCACCGTGTAAGTGTTTGCTCAAATTAAACACGTTGTAGTAACGTTATTGTAGGGAAAAAAAGCAGGAAAAAAAGCAGCCCCTCTCGGAGAAACTCCAGATAACATCGAAGAAGAGCAGAGATTAGGTCAGTTGAACACGTGACAATGAGATTGTGGTCATTCATTGGGATAGTGATCATTCATAAGAATGGTGCACTATGAAAATAAAGTTCACTTCAACAGAGTTCACTGCATTGCAGCAACACAAACACCATCTAATCTCATCACAAAGGAACATTATAACTCTTAAACCTCTAACTTTCTATGTCCACTTATAATTAATCATTGTGATCAACTACACTTCAGTCAAAAGATGTTATTTGAAGCACTTTACCAGAAGGGATTTACTGTTACACAATGTGCATGTGTCATGAGTCACATTCCTTAACTTGTCTCTTCACATCTCCATTATTTGTGTTTATGTAACATCACTTTCAAATTAATTTTTATCTGGATGATCTCTGTAACATAATTCATAATATTATGTAATATAGTTCAAAGTGTTAATAATATGTTTGTTTTTTACTGGTTTATCCTAATCGGCTGAAGATTATCATATCTTTTTAATCTAGACAAAGAAGTGTTTCCCTAAATGGACATTAACTAACATTAATTTTATGGGATCCATAGTATTTTGATGGCCAGTCGTATATCAAGTTTAGTTATTTTGTTGATGATATTATTATAGGTTAGTTACTAAATAATATTTGCTTTAATAACTAAATCATTATTTCCCATCCAGCTGCTGAACGGGAAGCACAACGAATTGCACTTGAGCAGGAACAGGAGGCCAAAAGAGCAGAAAAAGAAGCCATGGAGGAAATGATGAAACAGGTATGTTATTTGAAAAAGAATTTTTTGTAAAAGTAGATTGGTTTAATGAGTTGACAACTTGACATAATATTTAGTATGTAGCGCTCAATTTTTTCATATGTGAATATTTTCAGCAGTGTAAATATTCTATTCGTCATTTTCTATGATCGCTCGATCTGAAAAGTTTCATAATATATAATTTATGTAACTTACATATTTCACATATTTCTTATATCAAATAGGAGGCGGAGCGGTTTGACACGGAGACACAAGTTCTACAGGAGATGTTGAATGAAAATAAGAGTTCATTGAAAGGTGAGAACCGTCGAATTTGGTACTAAAACTTTTTGTGTTTTAGTTATGGCTGTGATCGTGGTCGTGGTCGTGGTCGTGGTCGTGGTCGTGGTCGTGGTCGTGGTCGTGGTCGTGGTTGTGGTCGTGGTCGTGGTCGTGGTCGTGGTCGTGGTCGTGGTCGTGGTCGTGGTCGTGGTCGTGGTCGTGGTCGTGGTTGTAATCAAGTATAAGTTTTACTTATAATAATTTTCCTCGTCCTCTTCTGAACGATTTTCAGAAAACTTCAAAGGATATAATAAGTAAATTTGCTCATCAGATCTGAGAGAACAAGTGAGATCACAGAAAATCTGGGACAGATTCCTGTTGTGTAACGGAACACCAGACCCTACCGTACAATCAGAACTCAACACTTTCACCTCACTTTCAATTGATGAGACCAAGAGCAGGTACTTAAACTTACAACTCACTATTGATTGAGTACATGTTTGGGCAATGTTTTATCTTAAGATGGTTTAGCATAGTTCGTCCGGTTCTCAAGGTCGAATATATAACATTTCTCGATATTATTGTGTATCATTAAACATGAATTTTGCTTGCTTGAAGATGTTAGAACCAAAAATCAATCGATCAAGAACCAATCATGATAAGAAATGATCAATTAGTAGATAAGAAATGATTAATTAAATATCTAATTGATTAAATAATAGTACGAGTCAAGACGTGAGTGGTTGTTTGGGAGATGTCGAGCAGGCTTTGGACCTCATCAATGAGCTGGAGGAGGTTATGACCTTGGACAAACAGCTGGAAATCAACGAGGGACACGACAAGTTTAAGGAGGTTAGCGTTTACCATAACTCCATAATAATTGTGTTGTTTGTTATTCAGCTATTTCACTATTTTAGTGCACAGGAATGTTCTTGTGGAAATCGTATCCTGCGGTTTTTCATCTAGAAATTGAACAAATTTGTAATTTCATTTCGTGCACATGGTGACAGCTATAGTGATATTACTAACAGCGCTATACTGCAACTATATTGCAACTAAACCGCGACCGCGCTGTGTGCTGCCACTATAAAAAAATAGTTAGTTTTTGGGACATTCACAATGCAAGCGACTGTTTTAACTGATGAATTGCATGCAACAAGCAACTGCAGTTAAAACATGATAATCACATACTCCCATCAACTCATACTTCGTTTGCTACACAACACTAAAAAAGGGCAATAAAATAATAATGTTAAATTTAATTAGAATTATAATTAAAATTAAGTCAAGTTACAAATGATGTGTTTCAGGGAATAGACAGTCTTCAGGGTCTGATAGAAAATAAGGTTGATAACGTTACCTTCAATGTCATGAGGACTGCTGAGAAGTTTGCCGATCCTGACTCGCAGAACTTACTCATCGAAAAGGAGTCACCCAGAGTCAAGTAATGTGAAAATTATTTTGTTAAGTTATCAACAAGATTATTTAGCCTGGCTTCATTATTCGTGTGAATATCTATTATTCTTATCGCGATAGGATATTAAAATGTAGATAGGATATTAAAATTCCAACCGGATATTATCCAACTATCAGTATCGACCTGGAGGGGGATATTTATTATTTAAAACATATAAGTGATACGAAAGATTTTTTTTATCAGTATCGATATTAAAATTATCTGAACAATTTAACCGATAATATTTTTTCTATTTTAATCGATATTTTAACTCTGTACTTTCCAGATTTTCCCTTTGGGGTAACCTCGCTAAGAATCCCCGTCAAAAAAGCTTCAAGCTGGACACGGACGAATTTCAGATGGAAATCCCTAAATCACTGGCAAACGCTGATGTTGCTGTGCGCCTGATTCACACTTCTTTTGACTTTTTGAGTCCAAAGGTAATTTATATCACGGGATAGTTAAAATTCGTGGTTCATCATTAATTGATTCAATGATTGCACCATCCTTAACTTCGCTCTCCTCAAGATAGCATTTATCACAATTTTTTGTTTCAGTGCAAATCGTTCTTCTCTCAAAAGAAGAAAACACCAATGCCATCCAGAGTACCGTCAGCTGCTCATGCTGGTGAACCAAACGAAAATGAAGGAGCAACCGCTAAACCTGCAGATCCCATTGCAGAGGAAACAGCTATTGAAAATGTAAGACAATAATTTAAGAGGAAAATTCATCTTAACCAAAATAATTGTATCAAGGAATGTACCGCCATACTTATTAGTCCAAATAGTTTCTGGAAAATTCGCTGATATGTTACGATTTTCAGGTTCTTCAGGCAGTTGAAAATGAGAATTTGACGGAGAATCAAGATAATAGACCGGCAACTCCCTCCGATGTGGATGAAATAGGTTTGATTATAATTAGTTCCTTAGTTGGGCTAAAGTAGATATGCTTCGAAATTTGATTGATTTTCATTACGCCGAGAATCCGTGACCTCTTTTTAAATATTCGGCAAAATTCCAAGTTCGCTTCAAATTCTATTCTATTATTTTTTATTCTATTTCATTCTATAAACAGGTAATAAGATTAGTTAGTTGGTGAACACTTATCTCAATATAAAATTATTTCAGAGGACGAGGATGTAGTAGATCTGCGCGCAATGTCCACTGTGGGAGGAGTAATGTACCTGGACCTGCTCAAACTGCCTCCCCAAGCTAAGAAAGTGGGCAACTGGGTCATTCAAGATAGTAAGTGTTTTCAACTCCCTTTTTGCTTTTATCAATGTTTCCTTGTGCCATTATAATTGTTTTTGTAAATAAAAGCAGCTGAAACAACTTCCTTTCCACCTCACTAACAAACCCTTGGGCCTTGTCACAGTCACAGAAAATGCACTGGAGCGAATACCGAACCCCACACCCGAGGACGAGAAAGAGGAGACAGCTAAGGAGGGAGAGGAGGGTGAGGAGGGCGGGGAGGCGGCTATAACCCAGCTAACTAAGGAGCTCACCTGGCCTCTTCTAAATATGAGCTTCACTGTGGCCAGCAATGTGAGTAATCTTTAACTAATTGGTTAATGGCTTAATTAATTGATCTGATCATATTGTCATATTTTATAAATGTCAAAATATTGTCTTAAATGTAAGATTAATATTTAAAATATTCCACAATGGATATGCAGATAAAGAAAGGTTTCAACTAAGCCTAATGTTGCAGGCAGTGTTTACGGAGGAGCCCCAGCTAGCCAGGTGGGAGGATTCCCAGCAGTGCTGGAGGACTGATGGGTTTGAAGAGGTTAACTTTGATGATATTAATGGGTCTATCTCCTTCAAGTCACAGTTTATTGGTCCCATCTGTACCTTCCAGGTGAGTTGGTAATTGGGAGGTAATTGGGAAGTAATTGATATACATTCAATGATTAAAAATGATTGAGTTCCAATCATTGTCCAGTAATCAGGAAAGTTGTTTTCATAGCAATAATATTGGCAAATATTTCATGTTTCTCCTCTCTGGTGTACCACGAATATTGCTTTTAAAGCTGTCATTCTATCGAATCGCTTTCCAGTTTCATTTGGTTTGTCAACCACTTTAAATTAAAACCAAGTATATGTAACAATAGTTAATTATCTAATAATGTGGCTGGAGAGCAATTGAACAATCGTGGTTTTCGCATGTTCTTGACAAGTAACAACTGGCTTTTTTCTTTATATATCTCTGACATTATAATTTATCATGAATAGTAAGCTATGAACACGAAGTGCATCGCATCAATTTGAAGCGATTGTCGAATTTAAAGTTGCAATTATAAAACTTCTTTTCCCTATACCAAACGCAAGGAAGTTATTCCATTAGGTCTAATTAAGCATTCATGGCATGGTCTTTAATTCATTGAAGTGTTAATATGCAAACAAGAGTCGATAAACATAGTATCTCTGTCGGAGAATGATGTTGTTTTCTTACTTTGACCACCAAAGTCACTCTTTCATAATATTTGTTCAGTAGCGCGCGAAAATACAAATTTAATAAAAGTATGTATTATTTTGCGCGTTGCTAGGGTAACCCATCTTTACATCTTGTCGATCGAAATTGTGGGATAATTTATTGCAAGGCTCAACCGATTAACAATTTTCAGAATTAATCATCACCTATAGACAGCATGAGAGTATGCCCTGCCATCTCGTCGTCTCGAAGTGATAATAACGATTAACAAAACGTTAAGTTAAAAGTTCCCATCCCACATCGAGATTTCGGACGTTAGCCATAAGTGCAGGGTTTAGATAAGACCACCTGTGCAGTGATTATCAAAAAATGTAGTCGTACGAATCCGGTGATCTGGATTGGGGCTCCTATAAAAGTCTGGCAACTAAGCATAGTGTCAGCACTAAATTATTTGATGGTTGGCAAGCCATAGTTCTAGATAGACTAAAATCTAAGATTTTTTCTTCCAAAATATTTTGTAAACGGAATAAGACGGTTATTTCCACGGAGTCTGAGGACCTCAATGTCCTAAAAGAACATTTTATTATGACTAGCGTAGACAAAGCGAGTAATAATGTTTCCTTTGTCTGTAAGAAATATTATTTAGATAATTTACTGCATGAACTTTCTTCCACTAGTACTTATCAAGTTTCCACAGATTCTGAAGAAGATATTGTAAGAAGGCATGTGCAATTTTTCCTGAGGTTTAAGATTCCGGTAAATGATCTTTCGGTACCATTTATGCACATGTTGCCGAAATTCCATAAACCGACCTTGGATTTCAGGTACATTGCTGCTGGGGTTAAATCTTCCACAAAAGTTCTTTCTAAGATCCTGAGTGTGGTATTTAAACTGCTTGGTACTACTTTAAAATACCAAGATAATTTTAATTTTAAGTTCTTAGACGCTTCTGGTTATTGGATTGTCAACAATAAAGACAAAGTGACATCTAACTTAAATTATCTTAATAATACCTGCTCAGCTAAGTCAGTATATTCGTTTGATTTTAAGAAACTTTACACCAACCTTCCCCATGATAAACTTATTGAGAAGTTATCATCTTTGATTAAATTATGTTTTGAGGAAAAGAAACTTGATTTTATCAAAATCAACGACCAGTTTCGGGCAAGATGGTCGGGAGTTAATAAGACTAAGTGGTCTTTTACATGTAGTGACCTGATAGATATGTTTAAATTCTTAATGGATAATATTTATGTTAAGTTTCGAGGTGTGATCTACAGGCAGGTAATTGGTATCCCAATGGGATGTGATTGTGCCTCTCAGGTCGCTGACCTATTTCTATACTGGTACGAGCATGATTACATTACATTGCAAGTTAAAAACAAGAACCCTGTGGTTCACACTTTGAAACATGCTAGTCGATATATTGATGATTTAACTACCCCTAATATCAGTCATAAGACTGTCGATATAATTTGCAAGGATATTTACCCAGTAGAGTTGAAGATTGTAGTCACAAACTCTAGCATTCTATCTACGACTTTTCTTGATTTAGACATTTATATTACGAACAGTCGTTTCTACACTAAATTATATGACAAACGACGTGATTTCAGTTTTAAAGTCGTCACTTTTCCTAACCTTAAATCCAACGTACCTGTGAAACCTTCATATGGAATATTTGTAGGTGAACTATATAGGATATGCAAATCCTCCTCTGCCCTCAGTAGTGAATGAATTTATTCATGAGGTTAAATTATTAATCGATAAACTGATCACCCAGAATTTTGAACGGAAAATCTTACATAGACATCTTAAATTATTTATTAACAGTCAACCAGCGTGCATCTTTAAACACTGGCACAATTTCACAGTAAATGACTTCATGTAATTATATTGTGTGTGAGGCCAAACCTTGTAATTCCTTATGCATGTTACCTCGTCCGTGATCTATTCACTTCCCCCTTTGATCGTTTTGGAACAGTTTTATATCACGTTAACGATTCTTTGGCAGTTTATTATTTAGCTTTCTAGCAGTATATATTTTGTTTTCTATATTCTTTCAGACTTTTACTTAAGTCTAGTTATACATTACTTTATCATATTTTATCGAACTAAGGTGTAGTATTGCCAGATCCCAGTTCATTTTGTAACGGAGTTTTATATTAACAGGAAACGATGTAACAGAGTCGATATATTTTAATGTTGCCATGGGGTGGCAAGTCCCCATACATCGTGGTCCGGTAGTTTCACTGCGTCTTAATATATTTAGTATTCACCACATGAAAGGGGCCGCCAAAGGGCGTGCAATAAAAAGTACTTGTTTTCGGTGTGGACTGTCACATTTTTCACTCCAGCAGATAGCCATGCACTTTAACATGGCTCATGTATTGCTCCATGAGAACGTGCTTTACAAAAGTTTTTAATAAGGACTATTTTACCAACTAATCCGTCTAAATAACCTCATATTGATACCAGAGGACATAAGGAATTAATACCCGATGTTTTTAGGACACATATAACAACATGCCCTTCCAATCCTGGGAAATCAGACCATACGGAGAGGGGTGTGTAATCTTCACTCTGATCGCTGCCAGCGTCGAACTGGAAATTTCCATCAAAGAAAACGCATGCTGTTTAAATTCTCCAGAAGATATGGAATTGGATGGAATCAGGAATAAATGGCTTCCAGCCCACATTCTGATGCAGAAACTGGTGGCTGCAGGGATAAATGTATTCCCGAGTGAAGATGCAGATAAATATGTCAGCATCTCCGTCAAGGTTAGAAACATTTTAATTATTATTATTACGACCCTGAGTTCGATGGTTAAACTTCTAGCTGGGTCACCAAAATTTGTATCTTCATCAATTAAGTTTAAAACAATACGTCTAATATGCATATCATGTTTACGTTAAATACCGCAAACTTCTAAGGAAAGCTTAAACAATTCAGGATGAGGAATTGGAATCCAGTGTGTATGAGCAGATGGCACTGGCTTCCTCCGCTTTTGCTTTTTCTTGGAGTCGCTGGAATGCTGACTGTGGTAAGATTTTGTTTGGATATTTTAATCTAATTTTAAGACGTTGTTTGGTGTATTATTGATGATTTAAAGGTTTTATCTGGTTTTATCTGGTTATATCTAGTTTATCAAAGAAGCCAGATAGATAAGATGCTTTCGCACTATTTCTCTTTATTTCGATAAGAGTGCAAGTAAAAGCCGTGGAAGTTTTGATGGAAGTTTTGTAGAATGGGATTTTAACCGTCGACTGAACATTGTTTTAATATTAATTGAAGATATGATATTCAAGAGTTCGAGTAGAAGGTTGTAAAAACTGCTGATCTACCTTCAACATTATCTTCTTGCTTATAAAGTATTGTCTAATTAATCTATTAATTATTTAATTAATCTATTAATTAGGTGAGAAACGCCAGATCGTCCGAGCAGCGGAGAACTTAACCACGCACCCTGTGGATGAAGACATGTGGAAAAATTACAGGTAATTACTTGTCAATTACATTGTCACTATGTAATTGTTTTCAATTTTGTCGGAAATGAAAAGTTAGACCGAAATCGAGCAGATTATAATTGATATTTTAACCTATTTGTTTCAGTTGTGAACCGAGAAAAAGTTATGCTCTAAAATGCACTGATGATGACGACGAGATGTTCGACGAGAAAGTTGAAGGAACACAGGTGAAGTAATTTATTAGTTTATTGTACACAAATACTGTAATAAAGTTGGTCAAAAAAATATGGAAAGTGGCTATAACCTGGAGATTCCAGATAAAACAAATAGTTATGATTTCATTGAAATCGAAATTAGTGCAACTAGTTCAAAGGTTGAATCCTTAAACCACATAACCCCTACAAATTATACATTATACATTATACATTATACATTATACATTATTCATTATATGTTATACATTATATGTTATATACTCACACCATTCCCCCTCAGTTCCACCCTGATATATTCCACTGTTTGAAAGAGGACGCCAGCTCAAAAGCTGTGGACATCCTATCAAATACCTCCTATACATTTGTGGATAACGTGTCAACTTGGCTTTTTGCCACCAAAGTGCTGACCTTTTCTTGATTTTAGGGGTTGTTTTTTGGTTGAGTTAGTCGCTGTTAAGTGTTCAAAGCTGTGTGTCGACAAGAGATTTTCGTTTAAGTGTAGGATTGAATGTTTTGAAGAGAGTCAAGAGTTTTTGCATGCACTTTGGTCTTGCAACCACTTAAACCAGGCGATTTTTATTTTGAACAGAGAATGTACAGATTAATATCCTGTAAATATTTGTCGACAATTTTTCTCCGCAAATATTCTTGAATGGAAGTTGTACAGTTTTAATATGTAAATCTCTTGCACATATGATAAGGATCAAGATCCGAAAGATGATTTATTTCAAATTGTGTTTTGCATTGTATAATAATAAATACAATTTGTACTGAAATATTTCTTTCATTTCTAAGTCAACCACAAAGTTTAACAAATCATGATATGGAAAATTGTCCGAAAATTGTTAACTTTAAATCAATCTAATATCCCTGGCCCCTGGTCATCTCTGCACAGCAGACATGTTAAAGATAATCACCAGCCCCTCCACCCCATACTATTCCTGATGGCACCTGTTTAATGTCTGGTACACAGCTAGCGGTACTCAGTGGTACAAGGTGTTTAGTCGTTTAGTGTCTGGGGTCTAGTCAGTCATCCTCTACTGCCCCTGCCCCCCACTTGCACCGATATAATACTAAATTAATAGACCTTTGTTTTAGCTGACCTAGCCTCGGAGGGTTCATAATATGGGATAAATATATTGGCTAGACACCGTTATCGTACTCATGGTCAAAATCTATTATTAAGCTTAAGATTTAAATTCAATTCAATTATTATTGATTCCGTTAATATCTAAGAAATCTTAAATGGATCCAGTTAATATCTATGAAATCTTTAATGGATCCAGTTGATATCTATGAAATCGTAAGTAAATCACGTTAACATATATGACATTGTATTTGTAAATGGATTCTGTATGCAGATATACCAACTGCAGTACAGTTGAGTTAAAAAATCAAGAATCAAAATCGTTCGCCGCACGTCATGAACGTAGTTTAGGATTTTAATTAAAATTTATCGATCTTGCTAAAATCTAGCAAATCGCTAATAAGAAATTTGGCTAAAGACTTTCTGTTAGATTCGATAAATAATCGAAATTGAAAATTAAGAAAATTAGCTAATAATTTAGCGATAGTAAAGGATCTGTTTAAACTCTTGTGGATATATAAACTAACTTAGAGATGGTATTTTCGATGTGTTATCTCATTCATACCGACTCCTAAACACCTACCTATGAGTATGTCAAGTATGTCACGTATGTCAGGTATGTTGAGATTCGTTAAGCTTTAACAGAGCCATCACATTGTGTAACCACCCCAAAGAGAGGAGATCTCTCTGTCATTCCTCCAGCAAAGCAGTAAGTTTGAGTTCTGAGAATAAAAGTCTAACCGCTGATAGTGATATAGGTAGTGTTTCGGAAAGGAATAGCATGCACTAATGACTAAGTAAGCTCTGCGATTTAAATTGCTCCCAGTCGTCCCCAATTACCAATTCTTAAGTATTCTCGTGCTAGTGACTGCAAATTAATTATCACACAGTAACTGGTTTGCTACTGAGCTGTCCATCGTAACATCGTCTAGAAACAAGGCTACTGTGTCTGTACTTTATAGTTCATATTTTAGTTTACATTTTAGTTTAAGACGGTCGAAATATTGCTAATTAAAGCGCTAACTATTGCTAAATAAATAAAAACAAAGCAGACGGCTTGGAGCTTTCCATCCCACCCCCAGATATTTTTAATTTCAATGTTTTTCAATACATGTTTAATAACGGCCGTTACTAATTTGCAGAACTCATGTTCCTATATTTTATAATTAGGTTGTCCTCACGATCACACGTGCCATCAACCAAGCTCATTACTCTGAGTTTTTAATTAAAATTTATTGAACTTGCGCAATAATAATTATAACAAGTCGTTCATGACTCTAAAACTAAATATGGCTGAAGACTTTCAGTTTCAATAATTATAATAGTAAGATTATCGCGATTTCAATAACACTAATTGCATACTTATCTTCTATTCGTGTTTATAAACACTAAGCCTAGATCCCCAGTTAATTGCATACAAAAAAGAAACTATATATAATTTGTTTGGGAGGAATTTTATATTGTGTTTCTGAAAAACATTAGTATAATCGAAAATTATAAACTTATAATTGATAATTTGCGAATAAAAGGATCTGTTGAGAATTCTCGTGGATAATTTATACTGGTGATTGCCCTTTTGTATGGGTAATTTTATTTTTTATCTAATTCTATGCATTCTGCAAACGTGGCCGACCGGGCTCATAGATTTTTGATGATGCTGCAGGATTATTTTCGATTCAAACCGAAAGAAAAAGAATTCATTCAAAAAGAACTGCGTTAAAAATGACATTCTTTCGATTGGAACATTACTGAAGGAATTTTACAGGCTTATAATTTACAAATAAAAGGATCTGTTGAGAATTATGCCCGTGGATAATTTATAAGTTTATACTGGTGATTGCCTTTTGTATGGGTAATTTTATTTTTAATCTATGCATACTGCAAACGTGGCCGACCGGGCTCGTAGATTTTTGATGATACGGCATTATTTTCGATTCAATCAGAAAGGAAATAAATTCATTCAAAAACAATTATGCGTTAAAAATAGCATTTTATCATGATGGCATTCGATCATAAAGGTATTTAATCATTATTAATTTCTTCAATAAGAGTAGTATATTGTTTAGTAAACCTTCTCCACTAAAATTATGGATGCCTTACTTATCAGCATTGTGTGATTTATAAGAAGCATGTGATAGCTGAATAATATCTAGACGCCTGCTTTATCGATTGCAACATTTCTGAGACTATAAAGTCGTCAGACTAATAAAATAACACCTTTGTATCACTTAAGTCACGCTGCATTAATAAGGTCATGTTTGACCGAGTATCTCATAGCATCACAATCTTTTATTCCGGATAGATAACGAACAATGCACTGGGGTTTGTCGCTAATTGAAAATTCTAGCGGACCTGTGTTTGTTAATTTATGCGGTATTTCTTAAACGTTTTTAACCGATGTTTAATATTATCCATTGTTAATGGGATGAGTACCTCGTGCGCTATAATTCGCAAAGCTCTGCCTTGGGTCATTTTGAAAAAATATTAGACGCTATTATCATGATCCGTCAATGTTCAATAAATTTGGATACTAGAGAGCTCGGTCCGGAAGTGCCCCATGTTTTCATTTGGAGCACATGATTTTGTGTAATAGTGAATATCTGAAAAATATCTCGTCGGTGAAAATTTTGATCATCTAAAATATAGTGAGGCGGTAAAATTGTTAATGCTTTAAATATTTACTAAAGAGCTAAAGATATTGCCGCCGGCAAAATTAATAATCGCTGCAACCGCTACCAACTGAACGCATGTTTATTTTGCTGCCCAAATTAGCCAATAAGGTGGATATATTTTTGAAACTCCCTAATACGAATTGAATTCACGCTTGTAAAGCAATCATTTATTTGCTCTAGAACTTTCAATAACTGCAGCCAAATCCTACACTCCAATAACCTCAATATTTAGATATCATGGAAATCAGCATCTGCCGCGAACAATGTTAGAATGTTATCAAGCTAATTTCCTTGGCGTCGCCTAGAAGACCCTGATTTTTTGTGAAACTTGGTTTCGAGATAGTAGTTGACCAACAAACTAGGACCAGTGACCGAACTTTTGAGGGGTCCCATACCCCAACCGCCAAACGGTGCCCGCGGGGCAGCCACGCCCATATTTGGTCCAAATTAGGCCCAATTTAGCCAATTACCCTCAACATGCCCAAAACCCAGATTTTAGGTGCTTTACTTGTAGCCTAGTGGTCCCCTGAACTCGTATATGAAGTTTCATCAAGATTGGACAAAAAATGACTGTGTTATGAGCCAAAAACCATATGCCCATATTTGGGTATACGCACCAAATTTGGTCTATTTTGGCCCATAAATTGGTCAAATATCAATATTTTAGAATGAAACCAACTTTATATGGAAGGTAAGCCTATATTACACATTCTCTATGATTATCAGCTCAGTATCTACCTAACTGTGGATTCTGTGTTCAATTAATCGCAAAAAATGAACAAAATCGCCCTTATCTCAGTTCGCGATATTTGCGAAACTGATTTCGTTCAAAACAATAGAACTCAATAGGGTGTCAATATTTTTACATGAAATTTTCAGAATCAACGTAGAATCGCATTTCGACCTTAAGTTTTAAAATGGAATTTTGAGTTAGGCCTTTAAAAAAATTTGGCGGCCAAATTCTGAAATTTGCCGGGCATTTTTTAGAATTTGGCCGCCAAATTTTTTTAAAATACGATTCTACGTTGATTCTGAAAATTTCATGTAAAAATATTGAAACCCTATTGAGTTCTATTGTTTTGAACGAAATCAGTTTCGCAAATATCGCGAACTGAGATAAGGGCGATTTTGTTCATTTTTTGCGATTAATTGAACACAGAATCCACATTTAGGTAAATACTGAGCTGATAATCATAGAGAATGTGTAATATAGGCTTACCTTCCATATAAAGTTGGTTTCATTCAAAAATATTGATATTTGACCAATTTATGGGCCAAAATCGACCAAATTTGGTGCGTATACCCAAATATGGGCATATGGTTTTTGGCTCATAACACAGTCATTTTTTGTCCAATCTTGATGAAACTTCATATACGAGTTCAGGGGACCACTAGGCTACAAGTAAAGCACCTAAAATCTGGGTTTTGGGCATGTTGAGGGTATTTGGCTAAATTGGGCCTAATTTGGACCAAATATGGGCGTGGCTGCCCCGCGGGCACCGTTTGGCGGTTGGGGTCTGGGACCCCCTCTAAAGTTCGGTCACTGGTCCTAGTTTGTTGGTCAACTACTATCTCGAAACCAAGTTTCACAAAAAAATCAGGGTGAACCCCCCCCCCCCCCCCCCCCCTTAAATACTTAAATACTTAAATATTTAATCATTTAATGGGACCCTGACAATCCAGTAAAGTTTAACAGCTTTACTTATTCTAGCACATATAACTTTAAGAACACCAGATATAACACCAGATATAACTTAAAGATTGCATAATTTTCTTCACAAGATCAAAAGAGCAAAAGTAATGTGTCCTCAAAGAACTCCCATGATTTATTCATGATTGATATCTACGATATTCTTATGTTGATTTATGACTATTACTAGGTACAAAGTCACAGTCGGGTGTATTCTAAAGTCTTTGTAACTATTGTATTTGCTCACATACATGGCTGAGTAACATAGCTAGTAGTTTAAAAACAGGTCTGACTGAGGTTTATGAAGTATTTTGTAAGTTGGATATC